TCTATTCAAAAAGTGAGAAACAACCTCAACTAGGTAATCCAGTACCTGTACAATCCAGAGGTCTCTCAAGTATAAAATACGTGTCATACAACGAAATTAATTGACCAATCAGAATCCTAATTTCCTTGAAAATCAATAAAGTATTCCCAAAAAGTGTAGGATCAAAACTTTGTCAGCAAAAATCAATCAAACAGTCACTTCATGGAGTAACTCTGACTATATTGAGACAAAATTCTTATCGTAAAGAAACAAAGACAAGTAGGGACCATGTCAGATAGAAGAACACAACTGTCAAAACGATGGTTATGCAAGACAGATTAGAAGAGTAATAATTACAAAATTATTTGAAATATTCAAGAAAAAATATCATTATTGTAGATATATTTGTAGTGAGAGCTGTTTGCTGGCCAAATTTTACGTCAATGTTTAGGTCCTAATTATTGGTCGTGAGGAAAAGAAAGAACAAGACTTTGCGCGTAGGCGGATACAGTTCGCAGATAGATGATCTAACATTCAAGAAACAGTCACACTGAGATGAAAGATTAACTTTCAGTGAGAGGACAACCACTGATCAGAAGACTGTGTTTGTCTACTAACAATAATCTATAATTAATGTACATGAAAATCTATAAATATCTGTTGATTTCGTAAATAAGGGATCTGTTTCCTGGCCCTTCTCTTCTGTCGTAACATATCGTTATTTTAGACCAATCGTTCCGCTACAACATTGATTATTACCAGAATAGTAGAAGTGGTTGAAGAACCTGCTTTTTTTACCTAAACCTCCGGTTTCTCTTTTTTTGCATATCTGGAACTCAAACAATGCAAAGGAAACAAAAGCGTATTGGTCTTGGAAAGTTGCTGTTCACGTTGTAGATTACTTTATATGATTAAAAGTTTAATTACTGCATTCATTATGGAGCCGCTGTTACCTTTCTGCAACCATGTTAGATGGTATTTTCGAACGATCGTAGACAGGATACTCGTCTAACAACCGAATGAAGCAAGTGAACTGATGATGCATTTATGAGGTCGTGTTTTTTAGGCTTCGGAAGGTCACTACTCCTACAGGTAGTGGAAAGAATGCTCTCAAAGATGTTGTTATTTCTCCCCCCCCCTTGTGGTTATCTCAGTGGAAATGTCCTGCTGATGAATATCAGTAAGCGCGAAACCTAGATGCAAGAACTTACATCTTATAACCCCCCCCCTAACCACCTAAACGATTATTACACTTCTTTGGCCATTTAGTTATGAAACATTTGCTAAATATAATAGTTATTATGGATAAATACTTTCTTTGTTCTAGAAATTTAAACTGTTATCGATTTTTTTTGGCGGGGGGGGTGGGGGGAGGCCGGAAATTATTGGAGATATTGAGTTTTGTTTTGAGCAATTGACTTTCATTCAGTGTTTCCTGCGTTTGAATCCCTTTACATCTCATTCAGACTTGGAGGGTCTGGACTTCGCCGATGATAATATATGCCTGATTTCCCACAAAACTGGAAGATATGCAAGTGAAAAACAACAAGTTGGCGTTAGAAGAAGCATCAAAGATAGAACTTCACTTCAGGTGAACATGAAGAAAACAGAAGTGGTGGGGATTTCTAGCAACAACAGCAGACAATCATCAACATAAATAGGAGAACTGTGAAAGAAACAACCTCCTTCACCTACCTACCTACCTACCTACCTACCTACCTACCTACCTACCTACCTACCTACCTACCTACCTACCTACCTACCTACCTACCTACCTACCTACCTACCTACCTACCTACCTACCTACCTACCTACCTACCTACCTACCTACCCAACTGGTAAGCATCGTTTCAACTACAGGCGGACGGAACTGATGAGGATATCAAAGCGGAGAGGATCGGAAAAGCAAGACAAGCTTTCATTACTCTCAATTCTGTGTAAAGATCAACAGAAATACTCAGCTTGAAAATGAAAATAAGATCCGGATTTTCAACTCCAATGAGAAGTCAGTACTACTTACTACACGGATCAGAGAGTTGGCTCTGTGTCACAAAGGGTACTTCGAACAAACTACAGACTTTCATCAAGATCAGATGGCCGGTCAGAAAAGATGATCAGCAACAGGGATCTCTGGAAATGAATGAACCAACCCAGGAGGAACAGATTGTGCAACAAATATGCAAGAAGGAATGAAGGTAGGTGGATTGGAGGCTATACTCTGAGAAAACAAACTATCAAGTGAGTGACATCACACTCCAGGCCATCGCTTGAGTGGAACCCGAACGGGAAGCGGCGAGTTAGTTGGTCGTCAGTGCGAGGGTGAAATGGAAGATGGGATCATACGAAGAGGAGACGAAAGCATGTGGGCGGGCTCAGAGTGAGGTGAAAACGTTGGCAGAAAACCGGATGCAATGGATGGAGACGTGCGGCTGTAGCCGTAGGAACTAATGGAAATAATAACAATAACTGAATAGTAAGACTACCGTCACACAATAAGTTTAGCTCATTGCCCCTGCGACATAAAATACCTCAGTTCCAACTAGTCTTCATTGGAATTTATATCAAGTATCGCTTGGTTCCGAAATAGTTTACATTATGAGTTGATAACTTCTAAAATTCTCGACAGTGTTATTAGAAGATGGAGATTATCTGAAAAATAAAACTTTTTATAAATAATCTTAAAATCTATTTTCATTTCATATCGATTAGATAACTATCTGTCGACGAAGTTGTTAGTCTGCCACATGCGTTTATCGACTCTTCACAGATCATTTGTTGTTGTGTTTTTTTTAGCCATTTTGGAATATGCTCTTCCACACTCACATGCAAAATGCGATTACTCCTCCTTATGTGTATGTGTCCACACACACACACACGTAAATTGGTATATAGTTTAGGATGTGACATAATCACTTGTGCATATAAAAACATCAGCTAACGAAGGTGTAATCAGATTGTTTTTAAAATATGTTGAGCCAATAAATTATATTTTTTTTCATATAATATCTGTCTTCTATCTAAATTTATTAAAAGGATTAAATTTTTTCGAGTTTCTCACCTCCTTGATCCGTTAGTAATTCACAGTCATGAACTTATTAGATAGTGTTCAAACATGGGAAAACACTTGTTCAATAGTAAGTAAATAATACCTGATCCAGGTAGGTAATCATTCTCTATGTTATGAATCGATAGAAGTTATAAAAGATAGATCTGTGTGAACAGATCATCATTTGATCTGATTATTTGATTATTCCTTGACTCTAATCATGAGTTTGATCTTAGTTAGACCCCACCCATTGTTTCCCCATATTTCTTGACCTAAAGGTGACATTCGAATCTGTCAACTGAGAGGTACTCTGGCGATGTTTGGCTATGAAGGGAGTACCGAGAAAATACATTGCACTGATCAAGGTGCTTACTCTACTTGAGCTCATACAGCCAGCCAGGTGAGAGCTTATGGCGAGTTGTCATCTGAAGTGATGACAACCAGTGGTATTGTCCGTTAGGGATGCCACTCTCTCCATTTCTATTCAACTTCATCATATATGTATGTTCTAATGGAATTTACTCTAACTGCTGACTTCTTCGACTCAGTGATTGAATTGTTACCACCAGGGAATAATCATGTTGACTTTGAATATGTAGATGATATAGTCCTCTCTCCTGGATGAAGACGCTGAGAAAATGCAGAGTCTTATGAGCACCTTGAGCTGCAATCTACGCATGTTTGCCATGTGATTCGCTTTCTCTGTCAGATGTAAGATGATGTTACAGGACTGGACTACAGTGACACTCAGGTTAGAAATAGGGAGCGAAATGGTTGGTGGAGCGTGTTGGCCACTCCACTTTTTGGGAAGTTGCATCAGCCAATGCCAACGGTTGATCGCTGACGAAATCTCAGCACGGATACAGAAGGGTCGTTTTGCATATGTCAATTTACGTCGTCTCTGACGTGGACATGATATCCAGCTGGCTGTCGACCAAAGGGCGTGTGTGCTTCTCAGCAGTCTACTCCGTCCTCCTTTATGGCTGTGACACATGGCTATTGAGAGTGGAAGACATGAAAAGGATAGCTAGCTGTTTGATCGTAGGTGCCTATGTTCTATCTCCCGTTTAAGTGGTTTAACAAGCTGAGCAATATTGAGGTTAGGCGTCGAGTGCTAGGTAGGTGGGAGGGGGAATCAATTGACGAGGCTGTGAAGCTGCATCGACTGAGATGGTTAGGACATGTCTTACGTATGCCTAGCCATTGCCTTCCTCGATTGAAGGTCTATGTTAGCTGACTTAGGGTCAAGTTGGAAAAGAGCCAGCCAGTGGTGGTCAAACCAAAACACGGCATCAGTCAATGAAATCCACAACGGTTCGTTTAAGCCAACCACGTAGAAAGGTGTCGACTTCCTAAATTGACTGGTTGGGATCTTCAGGACGGTAAAACCAATGAAGGCTGGAGACAATTGGTGATATGACTCAAAATCGTTCTCAATGTCTGTCAGAGATACATCCACTCCTTGTGACCTATAATTTCCAATAGAACTATATTGTTCTTCGTTATTGCTTTTCCTTTTGTCTCATATCCCTGACTACTGTCTCTATTTTGCATTTCTTCTCCTGCTTTGTGTTCTACATCGAAGGAGTTTGTTGAATCGAACTACTGCACATCTGTGCAAAGTTCTGTGTTGAAATCTGTCACTCATTGCTTCCTCATCTGCAGTTGATGAGAACTACTCTGATATATATATATATATATATATATATATATATATATATATATGTTTGATTGATTGAAGCATTCAGCTCTAAGTCGACGCCTCCTGGGTTCAAGTCCCGCTTCATCTGTCTCATCATCCTGTAGTATAACTAGGTAATAGCCAGTTATATCATTAGCCCTTACACAACAAATGTATCTCTCATAACCCTCAATACTAACTGAGTTCTAACTAACACTATGCGCTTTTATTCTCTTTGCCTTAATAATGAATCCTTCATTTTTTTTGTCTTGTTTTTATATTTTCTGTCATCAGCTATCTCATACATAAATCACGTTTAATTCATTCAGAGTTGAGCAGTAACAATTCAGCAGGGACTATTACTTCATCAACATCATCATCGTCATCAAATAATGAATCGACTTCAATTATCAATCAATTAAATCTTGTCCAGTCGACTGGATTACAATGTTTTCAACAGTTGTGTCAAAATCTTTCTGGACATCTTCTTCAATGTCCGTTAACTAAACAAATATTTGCTAATTGTGTCGGTGAACTTGGTAAATAACCAGCTGTTTTTATCGATTTATTTTATTTTGTTTTATTAAAGTAAATGTATTTAGCTTTCTCGGCATTTACAAGGTCATTCATTAGACAGTACTGGCGCTTCTTTTTATACGTTGTTCAGTATTATTTATTATATTGCTACTATTATCCTCGTGGATTCTGAGTGAAGTCTAGGGATTCAGAACAGCACATCTCACATCTCCCTGTTCTGTGCCTTTATTTCCTCCTCAGACGATCTCCTCCGAAAACATTGTCTAGGTCCATTGCGAGCTCGAATAGCTTAGTGGTGACATCTTTGACCGCAAAACTGGGTGACATGGGTTCGAATCTCAGAAGGGATATGTGTTCACTCAAGATCGTATATACGTCTTGATGACTGGTGTGTGTGATAACAAGCACGAAACTTAGATCTCAGAAGGAAGTCCTGACAATAACTTCCAACTATCTAATGGATTGGACACTCGCTGAGGAGGCCGCCGGTGGGTGACATTGCGCGCGCGTCAGGCCATCGCTCGAGTGAAACTAGGCCTGAAAGGGAAGCGGCGAGTGGGACATCAGTGCAACGGTGACATGGAGGAGGAGATCGTGTGAAGAGGAGTTGAAACAGAATGGACTGACTAACATGGATGCAGGTGATAAGTACAGCAGAAGGAAGACAGAAGTGGCAAGTGGAGACGTGCAGTTGAAGCCCTATGTTCCACTAGGAACCCAAGGGAACAATAATAATCTCATACAACAACTGAGATGTGTGTGTCTGTGTTACTTATAAAAGGAGATATGAGTAGTATATCAAGAAACGTAACACAAAGTGAGCCTTATCTTGATTGTGCGTTAGTATATATGCATATTAATCCTGGAAGTTACTGCATAAAATTCGATTTTATGGAAATCAATATTTGTGGTAGAGGGGGGGAGTATGTGTGAAATTGTGCTTGTACATGCCCAGCTAGCTAGTTTTGTCACCATGTAAGCTTGAATTTCCATAGGCAGTACCTCTGGCAGATAGTAGCTAATGAAAAGCAAGCTACGGGTGGTAGTTGGGCGTTGGTGTGAGGGTGATACGGTGAAGGGAATCATGTCAAAAAGAAATGAAGGATTGTGAGAAGTCATAGCGCCAGAGAATAGGGTAGAACTGAGATTTGTGGCTGAAGTCATATGCGTTTCACTCGAATAAGATTAATATAACGGTACTTTATGCATTAGTGGCCCAGCGGTAGGGTGCTCGTCGACCACGCAGGTGGTTTGGGGTTCGGTCCCTGGCCAATGAACGTACTCCTTTACCTCGCTAAGCCCAGTAGTAAGACTGGTAAAGGGGGAAGGTTGGGGGCATAAGGCTAGCAACCTTCCACCACTGCTACAGAAACTTCAGGCCTCTAGCTTGAAGCCCTATGTTGGGGGAACGTAAAGGAAAAGACGTACTTCAGATGTGTCAGTCTCAGTACTATCCAGACTCTTTCTGTGTTACCCTTTTTTCATTTTAACATTCTTAGATAACAACTAAATCTTCGTGTAAATGAATACATTTCCATTTTCCTAAAACATAATCCACAGTTTGCTGTCGTGTACAATTCCATGTTTCACAAAATGGAAAGTATGAAATCAATTAAACTGGCATATAAACCGATCAGCCAACCAACTCTCTGAGAGATAAACTTTGTTAGCTTAAGGACTTGCGCGATATCTCTGATGGCTTACTAGTGACTGGCTCTATTCAGGTACTTACCTGGGGTTCTAGCGGGAAACCGTGACCTGTAGGGTACAGTGGGTTGAAGGTGAAGCAGTAACTCATTGAAGAAGACGTTACAAAGCAGTCCCATTATCGTTGAATTGGCAGAAGTTAGAACTCATCGGCCGGTGAAGAGTTGGGTTCAAGTGGCTGAGTGGTATACGAGCTAGCTTGCCTTGTAACCAGAAGGCCGTGGGTTTTACACCCCCCCCTTGTGGTGGATGCACACTGCTGATGATTCCCAAACTAGGATGAAACGGCTGTTCAGTACTCCCTGGTGGTTTTCTAATGGCTCTCTAACTGATGTGTCAGCTCATGATGAAATCCTCCAATCAATCAAACAAAATTCCTACAAAAATCAATACTTGAAAAAGACTATAATTTGACAAATACCATGTAATGATGACTGCGAGGTCAATTAGACATAGACCAAACCAGTGGATGCGGGTCAATTAGATCATCGTAGCATAAAAATATAGCTGAACCTAGAATGATTTACCCTACTAGGTTAAATAACGTTAAAAATAGAACAGCCATTACACTGCATTTGCCCACATCTACTCACACAATCGGTTGTGTGAGACAGAGTGAGAGTTTATTTTATTTTATTTAAACGCAGAAAAAACTTGGTACAATATATAGCACCGAGAAAGATGCGCCACGCAATAATAATAATAAAACAGCGTAGATTAAAAGTAAAAAATATATGTTGAGAACGGTTAAAGAACTTCATCTGGAAGGAAAACAGTCATGCTTAACAAGTTCAAACAGTTTTCGTTAACTATCATCCGGAAGGGAAGAAAGAAGGAAATTGCAATACGTTCACCATTGATGACTGTGATTCTTGGCCATATCGGATAATGTTTCGAGCCATCGATTCCAGCTATCTCGTGGACCCCAACCAGGGAATCATGACGCAACAACCGGCGCTAATCTAGCACAAACATCCTTCATCCCACGACGCCACGCGTCATGGACTGACCACTCACCCCTCCGCTTTTTCCATCCCATCCCAGGACTGGCTAGCGAACAGGGACACCTGTATGGAAGCCTCTGGGATGACATTCCTAGCACATGTCCAAGCCACCGAAGTCGGTGTTTCCAGATGACGACACTCAATCAATGGTGATCTCCACTATGTTCAAACACACTCCGCCGAACCTCAGAATTACTCACGCGATGATGCATCCATCGGACGCAAGCAATCCTTCGGAGACAGCGGTGATCGAACACGCAGAGTCGCCGCCGCACATCCTGAGCCTACTTGGAGAGGCCAGGTTTCACAAGCGTAGAGCAAGACAGCCCGCCCGCACCGAAGCATTGTATACCCGACCTTTGTTAGCCAGGTTGACGTCGCGATGGCGCCAGAGGTGGCTCAAGTTGATGTATCCCACCCTAGCCTTCAAATCTCAACCGTCACTCCTCCGCCTGCACTCACACAACTACCCAGGTACACAAACTTATCAACAACTTCAAGCGGTTCACCTGCAAGCAAGAGTGAATGCAGGTACAGGCTTTTGCCAATCTTGTAATAGTACTTTGCACTTAGACGGCGCAAAGTACATACCATACTTACAGACAGGGTGAGAGTACTAAAAAGTAATATAGTTATGTGGAGAGAGAAGTTAATCACTGAAACTTTGATAGAAGAATCGAACTTGTGTACTGTGGTCAAAATTTTTTAATAAATTCTCACAGTGATATTTACTGATGACCACTATTCGAGCATACAATGTTGCGTGAGTAACTTTAATATAATTATTAGTCAAAAAATTGTGCTCAAAACTTCATCAGTGAGTATTACTGTATAACATTGTGAGAATATATCAAAATAAATCTTAATCACAATTGAATCACTGAATCTTTCATTATCGATTTAACGCCGCACACATACAAAAGAAATGACGCAATGTCTATACCGGAGATATGGAAAGGGGCAACAAACAACAGGGGAAAGTTTTTTTAAAGTTTTATATTATTATTCCCTTGCGTTCAAATTGGAACATAGAGCTGGCTTCAACAACACATCTCTACTTTGTTCTGTTTTCTACCATCCTCCTCAGCTGGGTCCACGATTGACCAAACTCTCTCATCTCTTCCTCACACGATCTCCCCCATGTCACCCTCGCACTGACGACCCACTCATCGCTTCCCATTGGGATTCCACTTGAGTGCTGACCTGGTGCGTGATGTCATTCGGTGACCTCCTCAGTGTATGTCCGATCAATTCATCTCCACTTTCTCTTACATGTTTGTTGAGCGATCGGCTCTCGCCTGTTCCTTTGTTCCCAACCAGAGTTTCATGGTGCTAATTATTTCTGGTTCGCATTTGATCTTCACTATTGAGCCAGCGAAGGCAATTGTTGATTGAAGTCTGCACTAGCCTGTTGGAAATCCTTTTCATGACTCACACGCAGTACAAGTTCCTGACCCATTATAGAAGAAGTGACTTCGCATTTGTGTTGAAAATCCGAAGCTGTTCCTTGTGCTGGCTGGGTGCAGAGGGTTTCTAAACTGTTTCTGGTTGATGAAGGCGTATCTTGCCTTTCCGATTCTGACTTTGACAATATTCATCCGTTCCGTCTGTACAGTGGGAAGTTGGAGAGATAGAATAGAGAGAAAATAAATATATAGGATAAATTGCGAAACCGTTTGACAAAAATTGTTATGATTGTGAGTAGCAATAATTTATGCTGGCAAGCTTGTCATCTAGCTGTTAATACTACGATGATAGCTGTCTGCAAGCCAAAAATTGTAGACAACAATTTACGTCAATGTTCACGTCCCAAATCAGGGTTATGAGAGGAACAATAACAAAGCTTAACCTTGAGAAAATCTCACCAGCCAATCACAGCAGAATTAACGTGTGCAAATACGATTCGCAAATATATGGCTTAACTTTCTGAGAAACGGCCACAAAGAGATAACAGAATGACCTTCAGGAATAAAATCAGAAGACGTTGCTTCTCTGCTAACAATAGCACTAATAATAATGCACATAAAAATCTATTAGTGCCTCTTGATTTTCTCAATAAAGGATTTGTTTCGTGGTCCTTGTCTCCTGTCGTTACAATACTACTGTTCTGTCCTAGTTTGTCATTCTTCGCCTGGGACATTCAGGTTACGATACCAAGCTCATTGACCACTTAGTCACTTGGGTTAGAAATAAATGACCCGTAAATTCTCACTTTACCAATTCATGATACAGCTCTACATCCGCCAATGACATCCATTAGCATCCACTTCTCACTACAGCTTCATGACATCCAACCAATACGAATATCATTAATTTTTCTTTTCATACTCTTGGAGTTTTTAATGGTAATCGTATTTGGACGATACTCATTAATTAGTGTGTTTTTTGGATTACATAATCTATTTTCCACTTTAAACGAATCAAATGAAACCAAAAGTTTCGAATCTACTATGGATAAACTGTGACTGGAATAAATCATTGTCTCTCTAGTTGATAGTTGGCATCTTCCACATCCGTTCCATCTGCTTTCGCAGATTCCCAACACTTCTATTCTATATCTTCTCATTTCTGCGGCAACCTGGGCAGCCTTTCCAGTTTCGTACATTGTACGAACATTCCATGTACCCATCCTTATTTTTGCTTTCATCGAAAGAAGGCACATCGGCTGACTGGCTTCCTGAAGGTTAGCTTTCACCAGCCTGCGTCATTTCACTTCCCCGGTTCCAGCGAAAAATAAGGCTATTGTTTATGTTTTTAGAATTTTTAATATATTTGTGCGTTAAAGTTTCTGTAGCGATTTGGTTAAGTTTTGAGGGTGGAGTTGCTAGCACCGCATCCCAACCCTCCTTCTTTATCCGGGCTTGGGACCGGCTAGAAAGTTGGCGAGCTAGTAATCTAGGCGAGGAATGGACGAGGATGTCAAATCGAGAATCGGGAAGGCGAGAAACACATTCATTAACCTGAAATCAATCTGGAAATCTTCTTCACTCAACTTAGCATCAACAACAAAATTCGGTCGGATTTTCAATACAAACAGCGTCAAGTCAGTCAGCTCTTCTATACGGATCAGAAACTTGGTGCTTGGCGGGTCACAAAGAATATTTCCAACCAACAGCCTGTTGCAGACCTTCAACAACAAACAACTGTCTTGGCTGGCTCTATACTGAAGATCAGATGGCCGAGACGGAAAGAATCACCAACAAGAAACTATGGCTGGGAACAAACAAAACAAGAACCAATCACCAACCAGCAAATATGCAGGAGAAAGTTGAGATGGATTGGACACTCGTAGCTGAGGAGGCCGCCACTGGGTGACATCGCGCGCGCGTCAGGCCATCGCTCGAGTGGAACTAGGCCGAAAGGGAAGCGTCGAGTCGGATGTCAGTGCAAGGATGACATGGAGGAGATCGTATGAAGAGAAAGGAGTTGAAACAGAATGGACTGACTAACATGAATGCAGGTGAAAAGTACAGCGGAAGGAAGACAGAAGTGGCAAGTGGAGACGTGCAGTTGAAGTCGTATGTTCCACTAGGAACCGAAGGAAACAGTAATATAATAATGGATAAACTGTAGATTAACTGGGATAGACACGATAAGTTATTGTGTAGTAGTCAAATATTAATTCACTTCCCCTCCTCTACCCACCCACCCCCGCACATCTCAATCTCTGTTCTCTTCTTTTGTAGCAAATGAATTTTTGACTAGTTTATCAAGTCAGCATGAATTGCTACTGGATATGTTGGTAGCGTTACCGCATTTATCAAATTTATTGTGTACCACATTTATACCTCCTAATCCATGCAGTAATAAGCCAAATGATCATAAAAGTCAACATCCCCTGCTGCCAATCTATCAACGTTTAATGGATATACGTTTTAGGTGTAATGCACAAACAGCTTTGAATATCCTGGAAAAGGTTGGTTTCTTCTTTCATTCTTATTTTCTTGTAATAATTCTTGTTGATTGGTTTATTATTTTCTACTATCTGTTCATCACTTGGTTATTATTATTCCCTTGAATTCCGATTGGAATATACGACTTCAACAGTACTTCTTCGCTTTGTCCTATTTTCTGTGGCCGTCTTTTGCTGGCTGCACGTTTGCCCATAGTTTCGCATCTCCTTTATTTCACTCTTGAATGCCCGATTCGCCGCTTGCCTCCCATTCTGGTCCCACTTGAGCAATGACCTGGTACGCAATGTCATCCAATGGGCTCCTCAGCCTGTATCCGATCCGTCTCCATCTTCTTCGGAATGTTTGTTGTTGGCAGCAGATTCTGAATTTCTTCCTTCCCAGAGTTTAATGTTGCTCATCATTTCTGACCATCCATCAGATCTTCACCATGAAACCAACAAAAATATCTGTTGATAAAAGCCTGTAGGTTGCTGGAGATGCTTTTCTTGAGAGGTCAAGTTTCACACCCATATTGAAGAACCGACTAATTTAACATTTCATACATTTATTCGCCTTAATGAATTTGAACGAAGCAAGAACTACAGTTTTAGTAGAATAAAATGGTACCACCTTTTATTTCTTTGCCTTCTCGTCAGCTGCTTACAGGCCAAAGACATTTTTAAATATATCTACAAAAACAATTTTAACATGCACAGATTTCGTTCTAAACAAAAATCAATCGACCCATGTATGCAGACAGTAATATATATATAATATTAAACCCTATTCCGAACAACAATAATAATCATACACAATGGAAACTTTTCAGCATTACTCATTCACATAAAAGAAGAGAGATGAAAATATCCAGTTACCAGACAGGGAAAAGAAAGACTGATAACTGCTTCTTTGTGGACGCATAAATCAGATTTCAGGCGCTTGATGGAGACGTCTTCAGCAAACTTGATGAGAAGGATATCTATCGATTTTTGATTGCACCAAAGGAGAGCAAGTTGTTCGATAAATAGGGGACGAGCTTAGCTGCAACCTTAGGCTATGGTTAGTGATGTATTCAGCCTTCTGTTGATCATCGCTACGATGTTTTCACCTTTATAATCAAGCTGAATGTAGATTGGCTTTTTACACACTGTGATTTGTTTTACATTTATGACTTCAGATCTTCCATACTTGTTAATCAACCCCTGAGAATGACCTTTGTTTTTCAACATCTTTTCGACAGACATACATTCTTCCTCTAATTTTTCTGTAGGGCATATTCTTCTCGCTCTATAGAAACATTCACCAGTGATTTTCAATTAGTAGTGGTACCTTGAGCTGGTTGGTTTAGTTGTGGAGCTTTGTCATCCTGCTGGACAACATCTTCTTTCAGAGCAAGTTTTAGCATAAAGTGAACTGATTGAAATTTCTTCATGAGTGATAGAATTGCGTCTCCCAGTAACCATCTGTATTACATCTGCATTGATCATTTTTCTATTGACCTGAATTTTAAACTTTCTCGTCACATATGATCTACTTTTTTATTGGTTGGTAGATTTTTGGTCTGTATTAACTATGTTTGTTAATCGCTGGTTGATTATTCGTTTGATTACCAGGCTGCTAGGAATTCCCTCACATTTCTGTATGGTGTTTCCTCTGTGTTTAAAATTTCGACATTATCCCATTCAAAGTGATGTCCATAATTATGTATATGCATTAATATGAAAGAGTATGTACATAGTGTCTTTTCACAGTTGATTTGTGTTCCTGGATTGTGATTCGAAGGGATGCCCACATTGGCTGATGTAATGTCTGTTACAGTTCATACAATTAATTTTGTAAATGGTACTAATTTTATCTGCTTTTTCTGTTGAATCTTTCGGTTAGCACAATATCGAATTATTATGTACTCGTCGCCAAATTATTGTTATGTACTGGTCGAGAATTTAATAGTCCTGACGCAAGAAAGACGGAAATCAGAAGACCACTAGGTTTGCGATGAAACTTCTATTTTCCAAAACACAAGGAGAATCAAAGTGTCACACAAGAGTGTGAGAGCAAAAAAATATAAGAATGTCCGAACAAGTGCGTCGGTGGCACAGTGGTTAGGACTCTCGCCGACCATGCACACGGTCCGGGGTTCGAGCCCACGCCGACGCACACTTGATATCTATGGTTGGCCTGCGAGTTTTGGGCCACCGATATCCACGCTGAAAATTCCATACTTGTACCAAAAATACAGTGTGGAATCAAGCTGTAATCAAAAAAAAGTGTGTGAACGAATATTCAAAATGAACAAATCAATAGACAGTCTTAACATGATTGGCTAATTATAATGGAATATCGATCCATATATACATAGCAAAATATATCAGATTGTCAAACAAACACACACATTATTTGGATATATGTATCACGAATACAGTGATTATAATGGCTGGCTGGCTTGTGTACTATCTTTTTCAAATTGTCCTAATATTCTAGCTGTTAAATCAGAGATATTTTCGCTTATGTATGGTAGGATGAATTTTCTTGTGGTCTTTGATTAATGGTTTCTTGTTGGTGTTGTGATTCGATTTGAAACACTTTTTGATGAAATTGTGAGGATATTCATTCTTTTGGAAGACTGTTATTATTATTATTATTATTGCTCCCTTGGGTTCCTAGTGGAACATAGGGCTTCAACTGCACGTCTCCATTTTCTTCTGTCTTCTGCAATACTTTTCGCCTGCATCCATGTTAATCCATCTTCTTTCAACTCCTCTTCACACGATCTCCTCCATGTCACCCTTGGACGTCCCACACGCCGCTTCCCTTTCGGGTTCCACTCGAGGGCTTGGCGCGCGATGTCACCCAGCGGTCTCCTCAGCGAGTGTCCGATCCATCTCCACTTTCTCCTGCATATTTGTTGGGCGATTGGTTCTTGCTTTGTTTGTTCCCATAATTCCTTGTTGGTGATTCTTTCCGGCCATCTGATCTTCAGTATTGAGCGAAGACAGTTGTTAATAAAGGTCTGCAGCCTTTTGGAAATATTCTTTGTGACCCGCCCGCCAAGTTTCTGATCCGTATAGAAGAACTGACTGACTTTACGTTTGTATTGAAAATCCGACGGATTTTGTTGTTGATGCTGAGTGACGAAGATTTCCAGATTGATTTCAGGCTGATGAATGTGTTTCTCGCCTTCCCGATTCTCGCTCGATTTGACATCCTCGTCCGCTCCTCCTGTAGTTGAGACAATGCTCCCTAGATAAGTGAATGAAGTAACCTCTTTCAAATCCCTCCCGTTGATGGTGATTGACGTTGGATGTTGTTGCTGTTGTTGGTTGGTTATTTTCATAACCTCCGTCTTGTCTATGTTCACCTGGAGTCCTGTCTTCGCTGTCTGCTTCTTCGACCAGTTTTGGTCGGTTTTTGCTTGTAAGTCTTCGATTGTGTGTGACATCAAACATAAGTCATCCGCGAAATCCAGGTCTTCTAGGTTCTTCACGTCGGTCCAGGATATTCCTGTCTTCTCGTTTCCCACAGTCTGACGCATAATCCAGTCCACCACAATTAGGAATATCATTGGTGATAGTAAGCACCCTTGTCTGACTCCTGTGTTTACTCCAAACGCCTCGCTGAGTCTTCCGTTGTGGATCACTTGGCAGGTGCCGTTGTCGTACAGCTGTTGAATAAGGTTGATGAATATTTGGGGTACGCCATAGTACTCGAGTAATTTCCAAATTACTTCACGATCGACGCTGTCGAAGGCCTTCTCAAAGTCTATAAAGTTGAGGTAGAGGTTTGATTGCCATTCCATGCTTTGTTCGATGATGATGCGTAGAGTTGCAATTTGGTCAGTACATGATTTGCCTGACTTTCCTGAATCCAGCTTGTTCTGGTCGGAGTTCTGTCTCCAGTGCGTCCTTTAATCTCTCCAGGATGATGCGACTCAGGATTTTACTTGGCGTCGATAGGAGCATGATTCCTCGCCATTTCTTGCAGAGTGAGGCTAAGTCGCCCTTCTTTGGTAGTTTCACGAGGTAACCTTTCCTCCAGTCAGTAGGCACCTTTCCCTCCTTCCAGACCTTTTGGAATAATGGAGTCAGCATGTCTGCTGTCGTCTCTGGGTCTGCTTTCAGTGCTTCAGGGGGTATTCCATCTGGTCCGGCTGTTTTCCCAGCTTTCAGAAGTTTGATTGCGTTCAAGACTTCAGCTCTTGTTGGAGGATTGGAAGACTGTTAGTAGGTGGTATTTTTCTTACATTCTTTTCAACGCTGGAGTGCTACAGTGTGTATGTGTTTGAACTCTCTTTTAAACAATGTCTGCTCACAGTTTCTTTTGTGAGTAATTGGGTTATTGCATGTATAGTTGAGTATTTGATCTGTATGCATTAATTATCCGGTGTACTTGTGTTTCTTTATTAGTGATTGGTGTTTGTTGTTGTTATTGTTTTTGTTGTTTGGTTGGTTGGTTGGTTACCTTCATCACTTCTGTCTTCGCTACCTGTCTCCTCTGCCAGTTTGTTGGTTTTCAATTGTAGATCTTCATGTCTGTATGATATCAGACATTTTGGAATCTCAACCAGAAAGTTTACATCTTACGTGATCCAACCAATAATCAGAGACTACGTGGACTGATTTGACCGACTTTAAACTCTCTCTCTTCCAAGCTAACATTGGTCAGTGAGAAAGACGATGGATCTCTTGTCATGCTTAACTGCATTCCCTTAATATCCCAGTCAATGTAACCTACCAAGTCTCATAGATTGATTTTTCATCTTCAACTCCAATGTGAAGTCAGTGCTACCTTACTATACGGATCAGAGACTTGGCGCCGCTCCGCGTCACGAATGACATTTCGAACAAACTAAACACCTTCATCAACAGCTGTCGTCGTTCAATACTACTCTAGATCAGATGGTCAGTCAGAAAAGATCAGCAACAAGAAAGGATCTCTGACAATGAACGAACCAAGCCATGTGGCAACCAATTGTGCAACAAGTAGGCAGGAAGAAATGGATGTAGGTGGATTGGAGGCCATGCTCTGAGAAAACCATCAAGTGAGTGACATCACACGCCAGGTCATTGGTCGAGTGGAACCGGAATGGGAATCGGAGGGTCAGTTGTTGGCCAGTGCGGGGGTGACATGGATTGGAGGAGGTGATGTGAAGAGGAGATGAAAGCATGTGGGCAGACGTAGAGTCAGGTGAAATCGTTGGCGGAGAACTGAGCTTAATGGATTGAGACGTGCGACTGAAACCCTATGTCCCTCTCGGGAAACAATAATAATAATAATAACCTAACAACCCTATACCTAACCTCAACATTACCATATTATATTTTAAATGAAACATATTTCGATTTTCTAAAACCACCCACAAAGAGTTGGTTGTGCTAAATTCATGAATTAGTAGAAGTTGGAATTTATGAGCTCATTGGATTGGGTCCTTATGACTGAGTGATCTACGAGATGGCATTGTAACGGGAAGCTCCTGGGTTTGAACCCACTGTGGTGGGTGCGTTCTGATGAAGATTTCCAAACTACAGCGAAACGGTGGTCCAGTACTCCATGTATTTTAATAGTTTACTAACTAACATCAATCCGTGGTAAAATACGAGGTAAATCAGATTTCCTACAAACACTAACTCTTGTAAATCTGTGTTTAATTATTGATTTTTCGGGAGTTTGGTTTGTAAGGATTAGATTTGTTTATACAAGTTTGACCACGGACTGATATCAGTTAGGGAACCGTTGAAAACCAGCCATAGGGAGTGCTGGACAGGTGTTTTGTCTTACTAGTTTTGGACTGCTGGGCAGTACGCACCCACCACAGGGGGGTTCGATCTAATCCAGGACCTTCCGGTTACCAGACAAACTCGTATAACACTTAACCACTAGGACCCGGCTCCTCAATGGCCAAACCCATTAACTGTAACTTCTACTAATTCGTGATTTAGCGCGACTGGCACCAACCAACCAATGTCATCGGTGGGACATTCATCCTCACTGGTCATGACTTTTCCCTAGAACTCTAGGAAATTCTGTCCGGTAGCAATTCATTAGCGAGAATCAGATTAACTTTCTTTAGTTGGTTTGTAAAGATTAGATTTGTTTATACGAGTATGAGCATGGATTGATATCAGTTAGAGAACTTTAGTAACCATTAATTTTTATTTCTTTTCTATAGATTAATTTCAAAGCTTGGTTTTCATTGGAGGTTAAATATTATAACAAGGATCAGTGGAATGAACTCATACTTGCTTTATTCAATTGTATACAAGAAACAACCCCTCCTCCTACTCCTACTCCAACTACTAATTATTCTTCAGGAGTAAATTCAACCTCCTCCGAAGAGAATGAAGATTTGCACAAAGTTTGTTTGTTTGTTTTAATATTTGTTTTCTTTCTTCTCTTTAAAAAACATGATAACATTCTAGACAGAGTTAGAGAATTGGCAACCTGGAGTGTCACCATGGCCGGTTTTTTGAAGATTGGTCAGTCGGTCACAGTAAATCAGATTAATTTAAGTGGAAAAACAAAATAAGACAAGAGAAGTGTCAGTGGATACTGGTGCTTAGACTTTAATCTGACGATAACGAATTCATTTCCAACCTGATACTATATCGACTAACATTTCCCATTGAGGAAGACGATGGCTAGGCAACGGTATAATCCACAGTAGTAAAAAGAAGTAGTCAGATGTTGGTGAAAGTTTTTTTCAGTGTAACCCCTGTGAAGAAGGAGTAACAAGTCTCTAAAACTAGATAGAAGCACTGATTATCTCGACATCAGCATTGAGAATCTGGATATTGTTCTTTAGACCGAGTATTTTGTAGATATCCACACTTATTTGAGGATAATGAACGCCTGTTTGTCTTGCTTTCATTGTGGATCAAAATTTGTTTTGATAATTATGTCTCACAATGGTGTGTTATACACAGTACAGTGATATTTACTGATGACCACGATTCGAGTACAAATTATTATTACTACTACTCATAATCATATCAAGGCACTCAGTCACACAACTTTCTAACTTCGTTTATACAACTCCATTATCTTTTATCGCTTAACTTGATTTTCCATATTTCCGGGATGAGTGATGATGAATCATTCCTATATTGCATGCGTTGGGTGTAGATTCTACGGACAACCTCCCTCTCGACTACCTGTATTACTTGTTAGAATTTTGACTTTGTCCCAAGCACCCTATTTTGTAGTTGTGTGTTAATGCATGCAGTGCAATTGCTGAGCTTTTTTTTTTCTAAATTACTCATCTTCATTCTTACCTTAGGTAAATGCTTATATTCCGACAATCTGACTACCCCCCTCTCCTTCTAGTTTAACCTATGTAGTTGACCCTACTCACAGTCATTGCAGAAATTTAGAAAAAGGCTCTCTGATTGCACTGCACACAATAGGGTGGGTGCAAGAGGGTTAAAATTCTAAAAAGTAATCTAGGTAGGTGGAGAGCGAGAGAGGTAGTTGATTACTGTATCCTGCGTGGTTCATCGAGTCTCCACCCAACACATGCAATAGGAGAATGATTCATCACTCATACCCGAAATATCGAAAATATTACTACCAATCAATCATCAAGTCAAGCGATGAAAAATAATTATTGAATTGAATTTTTGATTTTCCCGTCGATTGATTGGACCGAAGTGCTCGGTCTCAGGTTGACATGTCGGCTTCTTGTGCAGATGCTTCGACGATGTCTGGGTATTTAATTAGTATACAATTGATGGATGGTGGCTAGCAGTGGAATCCAGGATGCGCATTTCGTCCTATTGGGACTCGTCAGCTAGCGGATGTACCTGCATTTCTCAGTGAGTGGGAACATCATCACTCACAGACATCGTCGAAGCATCTGCACAAGAAGCCGACATGTCAACCTGAGACCGAGCACTTCGGTCCAATCAATCGACGGGAAAATCAAAAATTCAATTCAATAATTAATATGACCCGTTGCACAAGAAGTGGCTCTCGTGGCCCAAGTGGTCTAGTGGATAACGCTTTGGCGTTTGAAACTATGGGTACTGGGTTTGAGCCTCGGTGGGAACATCATCACTCACTGAGAAATGCAGGTACATCCAGCTGACGAGTCCCAAATAGGACGAAATGTGCTTTATCCTGGATTCCACTGCTAGCCACCATCCACCAAGTGTATACTGATGAAAAATAATGATGGAATTATATAAATGAAGTTAGAAAGTTGTGTGACTGAGTGCCTTGATATGATTATGAGTAGTAGTAATAATAATTTGTACTCGAATCGTGGTCATCAGTAAATATCACTGTACTGTGTATAACACACCATTGTGAGGCATAATTATCAAAACAAATTTTGATCCACAATGGAATTATACTGTACCAACACAGTGCACAAGTTTTATTCTTATATCAATGTTTGTCTTGCTTTCGCGATCCGATCCTGACTACCTGTGACATCTTCTTCACTGATAAAACAGAATAAGGGGGATGTATCACTCTTTCTATAAACTTGTGTCTTCTCATATGAACTTTCTATTTTTGTTTACTTCATTTATAATCAATTTTGTTTTTTTTTGTTAAATTTTAGCTTTGTATTGTACACTTGAAAACACTTATTTCAAATCATTATCCAGATATGTTTATTTTAGCATTTCAATTATTACTACAAGGTAAATTAATAAGATTTATTTTTTATCTATGCTCACTTTTCTTTTATATATATGTATATAAGTTTCGAAATCTCGGCACGTATACAGAAGGCTCGATTCGTATATGCTAGTTTATACCTTCTCTGTTGTGGATGTGATATCCGACTGTTTTGTCAAACAAAGGGCGTGTGTACTGCCCAGCAGTTCGCTCCATCCTCCTTTATGGATGTGAGACATGGCCATTAGAAGTGGAGACATGCAAAAAAGGCCTAGCTGTCTTTGATCATAGATGGCTGCGTTCTATCTCCTGTATTAAGTGATATAATAGGGTGAGTAATATTGAGGTTAGGCATCAGTCGAGTGCTGGGCAAGGAGGGGGGAAATCAATAGACGAGGCTGTGAAGTTACATCGATTGAAATGGTTAGGACATGTGTAACGCATCCAGAGCCATCGCCTTCCTTGATGGTCAATATTAGCTGACATAGTGTCAGGTTGGAAAAGAGATAGCTAGTAGTGGTTAAACCGAAACATGGCTTCATCAGTCAATGAAATCCCACAGTTATTTTAAGTCAGTCACGTAGGAAGGTTATGATTATGAGCAATAAATTGTACTCGAAACGTGGTCATCAGTGAACATTACTGTATAACACTGTGAGACTTTATCAAAACAAAACCTTACCCATAATGGAATTATACTCTACCACAGTGCACAAGTTTTATTCTTATATCACGTAGGAAGGTGTAGAATTCTTGGTTGGGTTCCTCGGGACGGTAAAAGTCAGTGACATCTATCTGGGGACAATTGGTGATCGTTGTCATTGTCTGGCGGAGATGCATCCACTCCTAATGACTTATAATACCCAATGAAACTGTATTGTTCTTTCTTTATTACTATTCTTTTTGCCTCATATCTCTGTTTTGCATTCCTTTTTACTTCTCTTGCTTTGTGTGCTTGAGTGAAGTGTGATGACTCGAACTGCTGCACATCGGTGCAAAGTTCTAAGCTCAAACTTGTCAGTCATTCAGTCAATATATATAAGTTTAGACGTATTGCCATTGCCTCACCGTTTCTTGAAATAAATTGGAAAAATTTGCTTACATGTAACCTTGAGTCTTCATTGAAGGCTTTTAAAGATTCTTATCAATAAGCTCATAAACACAGTAGAGGTGCATTTTAGATGTCAGTGTCGTCTTATATCATAATATTGTCTGTAGTTTAGATAGAGGTGCCAAATATAATGTTCGATATGCCCTTCGTCAATTTCACATCTGTCTTCGACTCTGCTGTATCCAGGCTTTTCTTGCTGCAACACAAGCACAGTGCTGGATTAATAGGTGACTTCATACTTAACTTTTCTGAGATAGGAAGCAGTACACATTGTATGTAATGGGGGGGGAGGCTTTCATCGCTTTACTTACTATATAGCTAGTGTTTCTCAAGATGTTGTTCTTTCTCTTTTTTCTCTTTTCCTACATGACTTACCACCGCCGCCCCCTGCATTTTGATGAAGCCAGTTTTGTTAAGTATGCCGAAGATCTGAATGTTTTCATGCCGACAGTTACTTCTCAGTCAGACTATCCTAAAATGAATATAAATTTTTATTAGAAATTAGTCAGCAGTTCTTGATGTCAAAAATGGCCTTAAGCTTAATCCCTCCAAATGTCAGGTAGTGTTAGTTTGATTTTCAGACACAAGAGCGACTTAGATGAGCTGGTCTTTCCGCATTACTCTAGTATCATAGATGGCACTGAAGTTAAAACTATGTTGAATGCCGAGTATCTTGTATTGAGTATTTCACCTTGCCTTTCCTTATCTTCCAACATCATGTTAGTTTCTGAAAAGATATTTTGTTTCACCTTCTACTTAAGAAGGTTGAGACAGTCTGGTGTCACACAGTCTCTACTCCGTAAATCTGGTAAATTTTTTTTTGGATTACAGCTTGATTCCATAATGTACTTTTGGTACAAGTATGGAATTTTCAGCATGGATATCGGTAGCCCAAATTCTGCAGGCCGACCATAGACATCAGGTGTGCGTTGGCAGGGGATCGAACCTCGGACCATGTGCATGGTCGGCGAGAGTCCTTATCACTGTGTCACCGGCGCACCGTGTATTCTACCTATTCCTTTATATTCCCCCCCACCACCACCCCGCTTAATCTTTTTTGAGCTACTAAAGAAAGACTTTGTTATACTGCAAAGAGCAGTATAAACGCCGAGTGTAGGGCGAGTGGGTTGTTGCTATGCTAACTCATTAACACTATTGTAGATACACACATGGACTCCTACAAGAAATTAACAAATATTATCTTCTCAGACACTGAATATCCTCTCTATACAGAACTCCCCTAGCCTTACATCTCATTAGGTAGAATAGAACTCTGTCTGTCTGTCTGTTTTCAACATAGAACTTTGCACAGATGTGCAACAGTTCAAGTTGCCTTACTCCCTCCATGTAGCACATAAATCAAGGCAAGAAAGTAGAAGAAATGCAAAGTAGTGACAGTAAGCAGAGGTGTGAGACAAAAGGAATAGTAATAACGAAGAACAATATAGTTTCATTGGAAATCATAAGTCACAAGGAGTGGATGCATCTCCGCCAGACAATGAGAATGATCACTTTGAGTCATATCACCGGTTGTCTCCAGCCTTCATTGGTGTAACTATATAAACCTGTATGCTCGGACGATCAAGTACAGATACTCCCGAATACCTTATTTGGTAGGCATATAGTTAATGTGATGAGAAAGGTGTGTAAGCCAGGAAATTACCAACTTACTGCGGAACTCTAAGTAAACGATCGCATTTTGACTTTTCATTGTTATTTTTTTGTCAAACATTTTCACTCACATGCTGAAAATTCCATATTTGTCCCAAAATACTGTTTGCAATGAGACTTATATATATATATATATATATATATATATATATATATATGGTATGTACTTAGCACTCACTCTTGCTGGTGAACCGCTTGAAGTTGTTGGTGAGTTTGTGTACCTTGGTAGTTGTGTGAGTGCTGGCGGAGGAGTGATGGATGAGATTTCCAACCGTATAATGAAGGCTACGGTAGCAGACATCAACTTCAGCTACCTCTGGCGCAGTCGCGACGTTAACCTGGCTGTCAAAGGTCGGGTGTACAATGCTTCGGTGCGGGCGGGCTGTCTTGCTCTACGCTTGTGAAACCTGGCCTCTCCAAGTAGGCTGAGGATGTGCGGCGGCGACTCTGCGTGTTCGATCACCGCTGTCTCCGGAGGATTGCTTGCGTCCGATGGATGGCATCATCGCGTGAGTAATTCTGAGGTTCGGCGGCGTGTGTTTGAACACAGTGGAGATCACCATTGATTGAGTGTCGTCATCTGGAAACACCGACTCCAGTGGCTTGGACATGTGCTACGAATGTCATCCCAGAGGCTTCCGTACAGGTGTCTCTGTTCGCTAGCCAGTCCTGGGATGGGATGGAAAAAGCGGAGGGGTGAGTGGTCAGTCCATGACGCGTGGCGTCGTGGGATGAAGGATGTTTGTGCTAGAATAGCACTGGTTGTTGCGTCACGACTCCCTGGTTGGGATCCACGAGATAGCTGGAATCGATGGCTCGAAACACTATCCGATATGGCCAAGAGTCGTAGTCATCAATGGCGAACGTATTGCAATTTCCTTCTTTCTTCCCTTCCGGATGATAGTTGACGAAAACTGTTTGAACTTGTTAAGCATGACTGTTTTCCTTCCAGATGAAGTTATTTATCCGTTCTCTACATATATTTTTTACTTTTGATCTATGCTGTTTTATTATTATTATTGTGTGGTGCATCTTTCTTGGTGCTATATTGTACCAAGTTTTTTCTGCGTTGAAATTAATATATATATATATATATATATATATATATATAATCTGTGTTGATTTGCGGGGATTTAATTAATATAAAACTAGATTATCATGTGACATCAGTTAGAGAACCATCGGAAAACTTGAGAGTACTGTAGACAACTGCTGTCTAGAAGTACACTTTCACCATCTCACTGCTAAGGATCGAATCCATAACCCCGTTAGTTTGCGAAACCATTTAACCACTGGAACGTAGTAATCCAATGTTGCAGCTAATAAATTCCAACTTCTGTCAATCTATGATACTGTCAGTTCTATTGCCAACCGATGTTATTCATTATCAAATATCTATCCTCGTACTCGTCTAGTTTTGACGTCTTCTTTAAGAATCACAGACAGTCCTATTATGTAGTCAGTCAGTCACTAGTAGTAAGCATTCGATTTTATTTTGAAGTCTTAGTTTGCAGAGTTTCAAATTCACAACATATGGCAGCTCTACCAGCGCTAATATCACTGCCTCATTTCATCTTAAAGTTAGGCACCAGTGAACTGATTGGTTGATATGATCATGGGTATTTACCGCTGAAGAGTTCAAAACTAGGGCAAAATAATACCGTCCAGTACTGCTTAGTTTTCAATGATTCTCTGACTGATATCAGTTCGTGATTTCACTTAAAGTGTGAATGTATTTTATCTGGAAATTAATAAATCACCTGACGATTTATAAGTTCACGACAATCTATGAAATGTTTGGTTTAGAGTTTTTTTTATTTTCAATATAAGAGAGATTGAAAGGGATTTATTCAAGTGTTGGTTTGTAGGTATTTAATTGGTTACAGGATTTTCATCATGGGCTGACATTAGTTAGAGAACCATTGGAAAACATGCCAGGGAGTACTGGACAGCTGTTTCGTCAGCCTAGTTTGGGACTCTTCATGAGTACGCACCCACCGCCAGGATTTGAACCCAGAACCTTCTGGTTACAATTCTAGCGAGATCTTAGACCATTAAGCCACTGGGATTTAAGCCTGCAAGGGTAATGATGAACTATTTGTTGTAGCATGATTTAAAATTATGAAAACTTTGCATCACTACTGATCACATCATGTTACATGATTCATGCTTCTTCTCCATCTACTTCGATTATACTACGCTAGGAATTTAATAAAAACGCCCTATAAAAACTGACAGCACGAGACAGAATTTTTTTTCTAAGCTGTTAGCAACACTCTAGAAAAATGGTCAAATAAGAAAGAGTAAGCTCTTTTCATGCTGTGAATAAAGTAGTCCTTGCTTTGACTACAGGATTTCATCATGAGCTGACATTGGTTAGAGAACCATTGGAGAACCTGATAGAGAGTACTATACAGCTGTTTCGTCAGCCTAGTTTGGGACTCTTCATCAGTACGCACCCACGTCGCGGGATTCGAACCCAGGACCTTCTGGTTACAAAGCGAGCTAACCCGTAGACCGTTAAGCCATTGGGACCCGATCCAATGGCCGGTGCATGAATTCTAACTTCGGCCAACTCACGACATTGGCCCTATCAGCTGGGTATTTATCTGGGTTTCTAGTGGGAAGTCGTGACCAGTAGGGTGCAGCAGGCCGGGTGTGAAGACAACTACTCGCTGAAGACATTGGCTAGCGGTTGCGCTATGTCGTGAATTGTCAGAAGTTAGAATTCATGAACTGGTCATTGGATCTCGTCCCAGTGGCTTAATGGACTATGGACTAGATCGCTTTGTAACCGGAAGGTCCTGGGTTCAAATCCTGGTGGTGGGTGGGTGCAAACTGATGAAGAATCCCAAACTAGGCTGACGAAACATCTGTATAATACTCCCTGGCATGTTTTCCAATGGTTCTCTAACCAATGTCAGCTCATGATGAAATACTGTAACCAATCTATCAAATCCCTACAGACCAATAATGCCTCGATAGTCCTTGCTTTATTCAAATCAAGCAGAAGTCGAAATTCATTGGCTAGCCATTGGATTGTCTCACAGTGGCTTAATGGTCTACGAGCTCACTGATCTTTTAACCATAAGGTCCTGCGTTCGAACGCCGGTGAGTGAGTACTAAAGATGAGTCCCAAACTAGGCTGACGAAACAGCTAGCTGTCCAGTACACCCTCTAGTGGTAGTTTTCCAATGGTTCTCTCTCTCTCTCTCCAATTAATGTAGCTCATGATGAAATCCTATAATCAATCAATAAAAAATCTTTACAGATCAATACTTGAGAAGTTGTTTCAATCTGTAAGAATGTGTGTTCATTTTTCTATGCGTGTGTGTGTATGTTGTATTTCTTTCTTTTGATTCTCTCTCTCTCCCTTTCTCGTTTAGATCTTAGTAATAGTAAATGTATTGATATCTGGATATTATTTCAAGATTTACTAACATCCGATATAGACAATCATTCAGGTTCTTCAAGTCTATCAGCTGAACAAGTAAGATACGAAAAAAAAAAACTTGAACGTGTCCGTTTTATCTTTGTACCTTTTATTTCAATGTTGACCTTCTTGTTGATTGATTGGACAGAAATGTGCTTGCTACCTCTGTCGACATGATGTCTGAAGACTAACTCGAAGTAATTTTGATGGATGGTGACTAGTAATGGAATCCAGGATACATAGTTAATCTTTCTTTGAGACTCGCTGGCTGGATGTGCTTGCACTCCCGGTGAGTGGTGCGCTGATGTTCCCACTGAGACTCGAACGTAGTATAACAACAGAAGACAAGGGCCAGGGAACAGATTGTTTATTTAGGAAATCAATACGTATTTATATATTTTCATCTACATGATTATAGATTATTGTAAGCAAACAAACACAGTCTTCTGATTGATGGTTGTTTCTCACAGAAAGTTAATCTTTCATCTCATTGTGGCCGTTTTTTTGAAGGTCAGATCATCTATCTGCTAATTGTGTCCGCCTACGCAAAGAAAGTCTGCTGTGATTGGTTGTTGGGTCAGTCGTTGTTCTTATTTTTTCATGATCAGTAATTGGGACATAAAAATTGATATAAATTATTGTCTACCAATTTGGCTAGCAGCCAACTCTCACCACAGTAGTACTCACCGTTCCCAAAATAGAAGCGTTGTCCACTAGACCATTTGGCACCATGAGAGCTACCTCTTGTGCAATGCGTGTCAGTAACTGCTTGTGTTTCAATTCAATTTTGATTTTCCTGTTGACTGTTTTTATACTGAATACAGATGCATCCGGATGACGAGTTCCAAAATAGGACGAAAAGCGCACACTGGATTCCACCGAAATTGGTGTCTTTTTTTCTTTCAATTTATGTGTTGATTGACTAATTGATTAGAATCCGTTATACTTAGTTCACTGGGCTGTGAAGCACGTGCATTGTATGTGTGAGGACTGATGTTACTCTACCCAGTTGCACCAAAGTTTGAAGTAGGCTGAGGAGGAGATTTCTTCAATATTTACCTTACCTTTAGACAATTAGCTATTTGTTAATAATAATGCAAACACCTTCAGCTGTAGTTACAATACCTCACTTGAATATATAACTGACTTCCAAACAAGTACTCTTTTTTTTTCATTATGATACCTGTTTTCATGAATACTCCTCATCCAGACACTAATAAAAACAAAACACGTAGTTCAGGGAATAATCTCTTTTCGCTGAGTTCATTCACCTAACTGTACAATCTTTTCTTCTATTGCTTCGTGTTCCCAGTGGAACATAGGGTGGCTTCAAGCTAGAGCCAGCTTGAAGTTTCTGTAGCAGTGGTGATTATTTTTACAGGATGGAGTCACTAGCCCCATACCCCCAAACTTTTCCCTTTACCAACTTTTTATTTACTGGGTTAGCGAGGTAAAGAAGTGCGTCCGTTGGCTGTGGATCGAACCCCGAACCATGTGCATGGTCAGCAAGCGTCCTAACCGCTGTGCCACCGACGCACGATAACTGTACAATCACAATTACATATACTTATTTTTTTGTATACTTGTCTGTATACATTAAGTTTGTCCGATAAGAATAAAAATAAGTTAGGGTTATTGTTTATTGAATTGAATTTTTGATTTTCCCGTCGATTGATTGGACCGAAGTGCTCCTCGGTCTCAGGTTGACATGTCGGCTTCTTGTCCAGATGCTTCGACGATGTCTGGGCATTTAATTAGTATACAAATTGGTGGATGGTGGCTAGCAGTGGAATCCACCGGGATGCGCATTTCGTCCGCTGGATGTACGTGTATTTCAAAATTGTGATGAGTAATCAAACTGTAACTAGGGGGAGAGGGTGAAGACTGGTAAAATGGGGTAGTGGTGGTACGTTGTCAGACAAAAACGGTTATTAAACACAGAAGAAGTTGAGTAGGCGTAATACTGTTAATTAGTACGATGAATAGTTTAATGAGTGAGTTGTGATCAGGATGCACATAGAAGCAAAAGAAAATATGGAATTATGTAAGAGTTCTAACAATTACAAATGCTATAAGTAGTTAGAAAAGAAAAAGCACCCAAACATCAAGTTAGTAGAAGTCCACACACAGTTGTTGCCATAATAGTAGAAGTGGACGGATAATTTTCTGGTTTTTCCAACTGAATTGCTGAGGTTTCAGCAATACGAAAGGAGACGAAAGCGTATTGCTTTTTAGTAGGTTATGCTTCATTTTGTGGATATATTACTTTGAAGGAAGCGTTTGTTGAGATAGTAGAATGACCAGTGTTGACCGACCAGTGCACACTCCTTATAAAGCCACTATTACTTGTTTGCAGCCATGCTGTGGGATAATGTTCTTGAATCCTTTTGGATAGGATTCATGTCGAACCGACCAATGTACACCTGGCTTGCTCCACAGCAACAGGCGAAACTGATATATGCACACAGATATTACCTGTTTTGTCTAAAATTCTCTTGCAGTCAGAAAGAGGCAAGTTGGGTTGATAATCTTTCTCCTACAATTGATATAAGTATAAAACTTGGACACTGTGGTGGTGGTAGAGTATAACTCCACTATAGATACGATTTTATTTTGATAAACCACACAGTGATGTTACAGAGTAATATTAACTGATGACCATGTCTCGAGCACAAACTATTGCCAATCATAATCATATCAAGGTACTCACTCACTCACACAACTGTTTTCCTTCATTTATATGCATGAGTGAAATTGATGATTAGACACTTTAATTAAATTCAATATAAGGTAATGTACATTCAGAAATAATAATAATATGAGTGTTATCAATGAAATACAATCAGAGGGGAATTAACACGAGCGTTTTTATAGTCAAAATAAATAAGTAACTTGTTAGAATGTTGTAATGTACGTGAATTGAATTGAAATAGAATAGAATTTAAGATTATTTATTATCCTCCTGTGATTTGACTGACTCGTGGTAATAATATCTTCCATGCGTATCTCTGGTATTTGCACTGAGTCATTTTTCTTGCATGTATTGGGTGTGTAGACTCGATGAATCAGGTAGGATTCAGTAATCGACCTCTCGCTCTCTCTCTCTCTCCACCTACATAGATTACTTCTTAGAATCTTAACCCTCTCCCGCTCTATTGTGTGGTTGCTTGTTAATGCGTCAAGTGCAATTGCTGAGCTTTTTTCTAAATTACTTATCTTCTCGGGGTCAACCATTCTTACCTTAGATAAGTTCTTATGCTCTGATAGCAAATCTGACTACCCCTGACCTACTAGTTTGATCTATGTAGTTGACCTCACAGTCATTGCAGGGTGTTTTGTAAATTATATTATTTTGTCTAATTGAGTCAGCAGAGTCCTTTGACCTACAGAGCTTGTCCAGGTTGAGTGAGTGTGTAGATTTGAATGTCATCATCACCCTAATTCCTGCTTTATTTAGAATCCTACATAGTGTCTCAGATGTCCCCTCTTTATATGGTATAACAGTAGATGACTTATATTCTCTTCTATTTATGTTATTATTACTAGTTTCACAATTATTTTTATTTTGTTTTTTGCCTTTACTGATCTTCCTAATGAATTTTATAGGATAGTCAGTTATTCAACATCAACGCCTCTTCTATCTGTTGTATCTACATCACTTTTATCTAATCGATTCCACTCATGTATATAAATGAAGTAGAAAGTTGTGTAAGTGAGTAACTTGATATGATTATGAGTGGCAGTAGCTTGTGCTCAAAACGTGGTCAGTTAATATTACTGTACAACACTGTGTGATTTATCAAAATGAAATCTTATCCATAATGGAACATTCTCCTACAAGTTGACAAATTTAGTCACAAAACGATGTCATTTAGAGAACCAGAGAGATAGTACAGCAAACATGTTCCGTCTCATTTTAAGAATGTCCAGCTGTACGCTACCATCATCCCCACCCCCACCGATAGGAATTGAACCGACTACCTACAGAGTTTACAAGGCGAGCCCATCGATCTTTCAGTTACACAGAGGTTAAGACTCAATAACCTGGCGCATGTGAATTCTTGCTTCTGTCAATTCATTGCATTATTGTCATTATTATTGCTGTTCTTGTTGTTGATGTTGTTGTTGTTGACCTCCTTTCACAACTATGTGCATATTTATCCCTTTTAATGTTACAGTTAACTCAACTTTTAACACAAGTCTATCGAAAGATGTCATCATCTGCACGAAAGTCGTCTGTTAAGTCGTCGTCATCACCATCATCATTATCAGCCGCCTCATCTGTTGTACGTGATTCCCAATCTGATTTATCCGATGAATGCTCTTTAATGTTACAAAATAATTCTCAACAAACTGTACAAGTTATTCTACACGTGTTAACACTGTTAGCATGTCATTTATGTGAAAAAATTGGTTCGTGTATATTGAATAATCATTTGTCTATACAAAATGGTAAGTTGTTCGTTGATGTTAATAAAAAGGTTGATTAATTATGAATTTTTACGAGTTGATCACGGATTGATTGATATCAGTTAGAGAACCATTGAAAACCAGCCATCGAAGGAGTACACTGGACAGTCAGCTGTTTCCATTATGGGTAAATTTTGTTTGATAAAGTCTCACAGCGTTATACAGTAATGTTTACTGATGACGTTTCGAGCACAATTTATTGCTCATAATCATATCAAGGTAATCACACGACTTCCTAAATTCATTTATATAGTTCCATTGTTTTTCTCTTGATTTTCACTTGATTTGATTGGTAATAGTATTTTCCATATTTCAGGTATGAGTGACGAGTCATTCCTATTGCATGTGTTGGGTGTAGACTCGATGAACAAGGATTCAGTAATCAACCTCTCTCTCCACCTACCTAGATTACTTTTTAGAATTTTAACCCTCTCCCACCCTATTGTGTGGTTGTGTGTTAGCGCATGCATTGCAATTGCTGAGCTTTTTTCTAAATTACTTATCTTCTCGGGGTCAACCATTCTTACCTTAGCTAAATTTTTATGCTCTGACAATCTGACTACCCCTGACCTACTAGTTTGACCTATGTAGTTGACCTCACAGTCATTGCATGGTATTTTGTAAATAATATTATTTTGTCTAATTGGGTCAACTGGGTCCTTTAACCTACAGAGCTTGTCCCTGAGTGAGTTTGTAGGTTTAAATGCCACCCTAATTCCTATTTTATTCAGAATCCTACGTAGTGTCTCAGATGTCCCCTCTTTATATGGTATAACTGTGGATGACTTATATTCTTTCTTATTTATGTTATTATTACTAGTTTCACAATTATTTTTATTTTGTTTTTGGCCTTTACTGATCTTCCTAATGAATTTTATAGGATAGTTATTCAACACCAACGCTTCTTCTATCTGTTTTAATTCATCATTTAGATCTTTTTTTGTGCTACTTAGTGCCACTGCTCGGTTTGTTAAACATTTAACTAAGCCTGCCTTAACAGTTAAAGGATGAGACGAATTAAAGTCTAAATATCTATTAGAATGCGTTGGTTTTCTATAAACACTAGTGTGTAGTTTGCCTTCTTCTATTCTTTTTATCTTACAATCTAACATAGCTAATTCTCCTTGTTCATTTTCTGATTCAAATGTGAATTTTATTCCCTCAACTTGTGAGTTTATATGTGTCAAGAAGCTAGAGATGTGTTCTGTTTTTAACACTGTGAAAGTGTCATCCACATATCTCCACCATATTTTCGGAGTAGGGTTAAATGTATTGAGGGCACTATTTTCCCAGCTGTCCATAAATATGTCTGCTACGATAGGGGATATTGGTGATCCCATTGCTACACCTTCTGTTTGTCTATATATTTTGCCTTGGAACTTAAAGATAGTAGATGTGAGGCATAACTGAATCCCTAAAATAATTTCTTCAATGGACAGCTTTGTCCTATGACTGAGTTCCGGATCCGCAGTTAATTCTTTTTTAACTGCTTCTAAGGCCATATTAACTGGTATATTAGTATAAAGACTAGTTATATCAAAACTAACCATTGTTTCATCATTCGCTAGTTGAATGTCATTTATTTTATTTTTCATCTCATATGAATTAGTTAATCTAGAGTTTGAACGATTTCTAATGGGACAAAGTATTAGAGCTAAGTGTTTTGATAATTCATACGTGGGGGTATTTCTAAAATCTACTATTGGTCTCGAAACGTCATCAGTAAACATTACTGTATAACGCTGTGAGACTTTATCAAACAAAATTTACCCATAATGGAATTACACTCTACCACAGTGCACAAGTTTTATTCTTATATCAGTCAGCTGTTTCATTAGCCTAGTTTGAGAATCATCGGCAGTACACAATCATGAGCCATTGAGGAGTTGGGTTCCAGTAGCTGAATAATATACGAGCTAACTTGCCTTGTAACCGGAGGTTCTTGGATTCGAACCCCGTGTGGTAGGTGTGAACAGGCGATGATTCCCCAGAAAACTAGGCTGATGAAACAGCTGTCCAGTACTCCCATGTGGCTGGTTTTCAGTGGTTCTCTAACTGACATCAATTTGTGATCAATTCCCAAAAACGAAACTAATCCTTACAAATGAACAACACCCAGGACTGGACACTCACGACGTTAGTTACACTACCTAATGAAATGTCTAATGTGAAAGTATCCATTACAGTCTTACATGAGCCCAAATAGCTCAGTGGTAACGTTGTCTCTGACTACAGCACTGGTTCACTCGAGTTCAGCTCTCAGGATACACCTTGTTGACTGATGGTGAGTGCTGAGAAGCACGAAATCTAGGTCAGACAAGGCTCCTCCTCCAACCGTCTAGCAATAATCCAGAGCTCATCGTGATCGTTAGCCATCTAGCATAGTCATCACATTGCAAATGTCCGATATGATTAAAAACCAGTGGAAATCTATCTCGCTCTAGTTTGGGTGACAGTCTGTCCACGACCTCACTACAGACTGAATCCAGGACCTAAAGGTGACGAAGTGAGCCTGATATTTATTCAACCACTGGATTAGAATGCAATAACCCTTGAATGCTAACTTTTTCTCTAGTTCGCCGTATATATCACCATCGCTAGTCAGTCTAATCGGTGAGTGATTACGTTTCTGCACACTCCACTTAGTAGACTCCACATGGATCATGACTTTTCAATAAAACTCCAGAATATTCATCCATGTAGTCACTAGTGAGTTGAAGAATCTCAAACTAGAACAAAACAGTTGCCCAGTACAGGATGAAGTCCCTTGGAGATTTGTCAAGAAGGCGTTGTCAGTTGGCTGTGAAGACAGGTAGGCGGTAGTACTATGCCATCACACACACACTGGCTGATATTAGAATCGATTGGCTATTGGATTACGTTCCGGTGTCTGAAATAGTCAACTGGCTCGTCTTATAACCTGAAGATCCTGAATGTGAACCTCATGTTTGGGATCATAATGTGGTAGTATTGAGGAGTTTTAAACTAGGATGAAACAGTCGCCCAATGTCGCTTGGTTTTCAATCATTCTCTACCTTGAAATCAGTCAAAGCAAAACCTTTAAATCTTTAATGAGTATTATTCACTTATTACAGAATAACCTGTACGTGTTTATGTTCGTCTTTATGCCTCTAGGTCGGTCAATGATTATGGATATGCTAGAACAAGTATTTGGTCAAATTTTGTATAAATGTATCATTTTACAATATGATCGAAAGCTACATACAAGTTCGTCATCATCATCATCATCATCATCATCGTCGCCACCACAAATGTCGTCGTCTATTCCTTCAGCATCGTTTATTGTATATGTAAAGTGTTGCTTAGAAGCATTTTCAGATTGTCTTAACTCTGCTATCAAAGGTAAGTGTATCTATAAAACATATATATATGCGTCAGTCCTTCAGCGGTAGAATCCTATTTCTATTCAATTTCATCATAGATGTACTAATGGACTTAACCCTAACTCACTTCAGAGACTCAGGGATTGACTTGCTACCAGGGAATGATCTCGTTGACTTAGAATATGCAGATGATCGAGTCCTCCTAGGTGACGACTCTGACAAAATAGAGCAAAGTCTTCTGAACACCTCCAGCTGCAATGTACAAATGCTTGCCATGTGATCCGCTCCTCTGTCAAATGTAAGATGATGTTACAGGACTGGACTACACTGATTCCTAGTTTAGAAATAGGGAGTGAAGTGGTTGGTGGAGCACGTTGACCGCTTCACTTATTTGGGAAGTTGCATCAGCCAATGCCAGAGGGTTGGTCGCTGACGAAATGCGTCGGTGGCACAGTGGTTAGGACTCTTGCCGACCATGCACATGGTCTGAGGTTCGATCCCCTGGCGACGAACACCTGATATCTATGGTCAGCCTGCAAAATTTGGGCTACCGATATCACATGTTGAAAATTTCCATACTTGTACCAAAAATACAGTGTGGAATCAAGCTGTAATCAAAAATAAACAATAAAAGTAGAAATCTTTGCCTGCTCTCTATCTCCCGTGTGAAGTGGTATAATAAGTTGAACAATATTGAGGTTAGGCGTGAGTTGAGTGCTAGGTAGGTGGGAGAGGAAATCAATCGACCAGGCTGTGAAGATACATCCACTGAAATGGTTAGGACATGTGTTACGCATGCATGCCTAGTCATCACTTTCCTCGACTGACGGGCTATGTTAGCTGACATAAGGTCAGGCTGGAAAAGAGGCTAGCCAGTGGTGGTTAAACCGAAACATGGCCTCATCAGTCAATGAAATTCACTACAGTTAGTTTAAACCACGTAGGAAGATGTAGACTTCCTGACTGGTTGGGTTCCTCTGGACAGTGAAGACCCATTGACTGGAAACCATTGGTGATATGGCTCAAAATCGTTGTAAGTGTCTGGTGGAGGTGCATCCATTCGTTGTGACTTATAATTTCTAATGAAACTATATTGTTCCTCGTTATTACTATTCCTTTTGTCTCTTATCCTTGTCTACTGTCTCTATTATGCATTTCTTCTCTTGCTTTGTGTGGTACAAGGAAAGGAGTGTGGCGCCTTGAACTGGTGCACATCTGTGCAAAGTTCTATGTTGAAAACAGATAGACATAAAGAAGATGGTGGAGGTGATGATGTAGAGATAACTAACCCCAATAACAATTACAAGCACCAATCGTCATCAGTGGGAGCGATTTGAAAGAGGTCATTTCTGTCACTTATCTAGGCTGCAGCATCATCATGTGAACGACAGGCGGTAGCACAGATGATTTTTTTTATAAATCCAGTCAGTGTCTTGGAGACTTGATAGACTTTAGTTACCTCTGAAATCACTGTGAAAATCTGCTGCATTAAACATCAAGAACTAGATTCCGATGTTCAGTATGAGTGCTTCTTCTTTATGGTTTGGACAAAACTCAAATTTTTATCAACAGTTGTCCTCGCTCCATACTGAAATACCGTATGACCCGAATGTGATAGCAACGAAAATCTCTGGCAACCAACCAACCAACTAGGTACCTATTGCCTAGCAAATATGAAGGAAGTACTGGGGGATGTATGTATTGGACATACACTGAGGCGGAGACCGTTGAGCGCCACTGAACGCCAGTCAGGCTCTTGAGTGGAGCTCCAATGGGAAACGATGACTTCGGCGTGGGTGTGAGGATGACATAGAGGACATAGATAGCTTATGGGCAATCGTGAGGATTGCGAAAAATAGGGCAAAAAGGAGATATGCTGTTGCAATCCCCGTTCTCCACTTGGAACCCAAGGGAATATCAGTTTTATCTAGACAATTGAGAATTTTACTCATGTGTTTATTGGTAGTAGTAACATAGCTCAGCTTGAAGAGCGTTGAATTAGCAATTGGAAGGTCACTACTCAATTTGAATCCTACAGCGTCGTAGATTTTATATTTGTTAATTATCTTCGCATTCTTTTAAGTTTTCAGTTGAATTTGGTTGATTTCTATGCGAGCGAGTGGGCGGATTTTATGCATAAAGAGTCGATATACCTTCGAGTAGGTGTTCACTCACGAATTAATTATCCATTCCAGAATGGATGAAGTAGTATTCAGTGTCTCCCTAATAGTTTGTTAGAAGTCATTCCCCACGCCGCACCCACTCACAGAGCAGATTTTTCATATACTTGGCTATGAGCCATATTTATTGTGTGATGATGGTGGCTTTTAATGCTACCCAGTTGCTCAAGTGGAAGTAGACTGACCGGGATTCGAACCCGTGACCTATTCCCAGAGAATCAAGTCTTTTCACCTGTTAAATATGTGACAATTATGTTAGTCTAATAACATACCCACTCAGTACATGCACGATATTAGCAAAAACTTTTTTCAAAAGAATGGAGACTGAACAAAGAATACTCTTTTCGATTACTTCATCATCAGGTTCTACAGTTATATATCCATCCATAATAGTGAATGAATGAATGAATTAGTGTTATGAACAACATTAATGTTGCTGTTTAAATAACATCGAATCAATATTAATAATATCAATGGATCATAGTTCAATAGCGCATCAACATAACAATAAATTGAATGTCAGAAAAATTAGGAAAGATAATATTACAAATTCATGAATTTATAATCTCTACTGAAGGCCAGGACTGGATATACTTCTTTTGAAAACAGAGCACTGGTTGTTTGAGGCGAATTGCAATAGCCTCTGCTGTTTGGAGCATGCGGTGCTTCGATGATGATTTTGGCAATTTATTAGGTACCCGGTAGATTATAGAGAAGGATTCTTCAATTCTGGCTGGCTTTGTGACCGGTTTGTACCAGATGGTGTAATATCGAACTGTTGATGGTTTTTACTACACCTTCACTTAGCCACACTGGTGGATGTTCCCGAGATTGCACGAAAAATCAAGTTCCCTAGAGCAACGACCGATATAACTCGCTTCACCACAAGCGCAGTTGAATTGGTAGATACAATTGGAAGTGGCCAGTCTAGGTACTTTATCTATCAATGGAGGAATTATCATCGGTCGTGTAGAGAATAATACGTGTGATTCACAGGCATTAAAAGTTCTTTGAACTGATTTCCTTAATTTCTTCGTAATTATTTCGCCTAGTATATCGTCCTTCAATTGTAGTCGTATATAAAGTGGTTTCTTTTTTACAGATAGTGAGTAGTCCTTTTCCGCCGCTTTCTTTGTTATGTGTTTCTTGATAAATTTGTCGGGATAGCCATTTTCGATCAAAGTATCATATGCAATGCTCAATTCATCTTCAATTACTTCTTCTGAGCATATAGCTCTAACTCTGTGGCTGAGGGTCTTCACTAAATTTCTTTTATACTTGATAGGAACGAAGCTGTGAAAATGTGTGTATATTGTCCGGTCCAAGTACTTTTTCTATGCAAATTTCCTTTTATGCTACCATCTGGTTTTCTTGTAAGTAGGACATCCAGGAAGGCAATTCTGTCTTGGGATTCCTCTTCACATGTGAATTTCATAGGCGAATGTACTTCATTGAATTCAGTTATTACTATACTCCTATCCGAATCATTATCACAAAGAATGAAGGTATCGTTCATATATACCAACAATCAAATGCGAATTCCCTGATAAGGTTGTTTAAAGGTTCATTTTCTAGTGTACTTAGGAAGAAATCTGCTAAAAATGGCGATCCCATCGCCATCCCCGTCCACTTGTCTGTAAAGTGTGTCGTCAAATTTGAAGTTTTTTTTTCAACTAAGACTGTTGGATTGATAGCAGTTGGAGAATTGGTTATTGGAAAAAACCAAGGAGTCCTGGACAGTTGTTTCGTCCTAGTCTGGGACTCATCTGCAGTACAGTACTCACTCACTGGGGTTCGAGTCCAAGATCCTTGGATCGAGTCCCAGTGGGTGCGTACCGATGAAGATTCCCAGGCTAGGCTGATGAAACAGCTGCCCAGTACTCCTCTGTGCTTTCCAATGGTTTTCCTAACTGATATCAGTCCGTTGTCAAACTTCAAAACAAAATCCCCTTTTATTTTATTTTATTTTTTTTTGCGTTCTTTAAATTGATCTGTTTAGTTTGTCCAAGTGAAAATAATCCAAATTGGTCAAATCAACTTATCAACTTATTTCTAATCTGGTTCACTTCTAAAGCCTTCGTGTTAAACAATTTTCCGCATAGTTTAAAAACTGTCTCAATGTCTACAATCCCATCCAGTAGTTGTGATATGAAATCTAGTAATTATACACAAGTTCAAACCAATAAAATATGTCTACCACTCATTGTCTATTCAGCATTAATGATGAATAAACTCAGTGAGAAGGGAGAAATCACTTCAGAAGTACAAGGAGCCAAAGGAGACGATCAAGATGACCACAAGAAGGCGGAGAAGGAGGAGGAAGGGGATGGAGATGGCGAGCCAACATTGAAATGGTGTTTATCCTCCTTGATATCTATGCATAATATTGTCTGGAGACCAAATCTGGAGTGTTTAGATGCAATGATTATGGTTGGTTGAATGATTCTTTTCTTCTATGTATCTATTTGTATTTTACCCTTTTCCTGTACCCGTCACCACCTCTATTATGCTTTAACAATTAATTGTCAGATGGTTGGAAGGAGTCGTCAAGAAGTCTTTGACCTAGGTGTTTCGTGCTTCTCAGCACACTCACCAGTTAGCAAGGCCTATCTGCAATCATGAAGGTACTCATGTCCCTAATGAGATTTGAACTCAAATCACCCAGTTCTACAGTTAAAGAAGACGTTACCACTGGGAGATTTGGGCTTATGATTGACCTTCTGTAGAACTGTAATGGATACTTTCATGCGTCTAGTCCTAGGTGTCCGCACATAACTTGCTTCTCTTGGGTCCTATATGAAGTTGGCGACGTGGCTTTAAAAAGCTATCTGGTGTGTTTCTACGGCTGTCATCGTTATTTGTGGTCACAGAGTGAAATGAAGATGACTGACTAGCCTGCAGAACAGTACTAACTGTAGTAGCGAAGCAAGATGAGAAAGGTGATGTGAGTAAACGAGAATGATGCTCAGGAAGGCTTCGTGTGCTTTCGGAAGTGTGTGGGCGGTTGTTACTTCCTGTCTGCCCCACCAACACCGTGGAAGTTGATTGATTCTTTGGGTACCTCAAACAGTGAGAGAGTTAGTGTTGCGTGACCGCAGAGCCCAACGGACAACTGCTTGAGGCCGGTCACATATGGCCTGTATGAAATTGTTTCTTGGTTTGGTTCCGTATTAGTAAACTTACCGCCGGTTACGGACCACTGTAAGGTAAGTCGGGATGTACAATTTTTGGGGTCGACTCTTTCTAACCCCCTTTCTCCAGAGTGCTGAGACAGCATAGCTGGCTGGCATGCCTTTCATCTGAGGGAAACACCTTACTGCTGTTATGTCCCTGTTCCCCAGCAGTTCGACTTCGTCCGCAGACACCCAGCATAGTGTAAAAATGGTTCTTACACAATTCCGGTAACTGCTTTTAGTCTAATCGCCATCCTAACAACCTTCCTGGCATGGTAGGACCTGCAGGAACATGTGTTCCAGCCAGTGTAGCCTGTTGAGTCATTGAGATATGCAAGCCCGACCACCACGTCAAGGTAGCAGCTATCGGGCTTGAGTCAAGCATCTTTTAGTCTCTCCAGCGATTAGCCGTCTTAATATTTTGCTTTTTGTGGATAAGAACATGATTCCGTACCACTTCTTGAAGGGGTTTAAGTCACTCTTCTTTGGTAGAGTTTGACAAGGTATCCTTTTCTGCAATCACGAGGTGGCTTTCCTTCTCTCCAAACATTTTGCAATAGCGGTGTGGACATATCCGTTTCTGTCTCTGGATTCTTTTTCGAATTCTGTCCACTAGAAGAATAGTAGCATGGGAAAACATGATGGTCTAGTGGATTTGAGGAGGTCACAGAGAGTGAATGCGTCTGCGCCACGGGGAACAGTTATGAGCAATATCTCCAATAGTTTCCAGTCAATCGTTTTTAGCCTATTGAATTAGTTGTGTTCTCTGAGCTGGTTGGTTTAATTGCAAAGCTTTCGTCATCTCCCCCCTGCCGCCGCTGCTGGACATCATCTTCAGCTCAAGTTTTAGTATGAGATGAGGTCATTTAAATTCTCCATGAATCATGTAATTGTATCTCCTGGTGTCCACTGTCGTTACTGGTTGTTAATTTACGTGTCTATTGATCATTTATATTGACTTGGGATTTGGCCTTTTTTGTTATATGATTTAATTTTTCTATGTACATTATTGTTAGCAGAGAAGCGATCTCTTCCGATTGGTTGTTTTCCTGCTGAAGGTTATTCTATCATCTCTTTGTTGTTGTTTCTTAGACAGTCCAGTGACATATCTGCGAATCGTATCCGCTCATGCTAAGTCTACTGTGATTGGTTGTTGAGTTCCTCAAGGTTAGACTTTGTTTTTTGTTTTTTTTCTCATGATCAAGATTTGGGACGCAAACACTGACGTAAATTGCTCTCTACCAATTTCGGCTAGCAGACAGCTCTCACCACAATGTGTTTGTTGAGTACCAGGCTACTAGGAATTCCTTGTCTGCATTTTCGGCCTCTCCTCTATTTAAAATTTCTACCTTCTCCCAATCATATTGGTGTCCATAATTATTCACCCTTACATTGATGCAAAAGAAAATATACATCATGTCTTTTTACAGCTAATTTGTGTGTTTTGGATTCCGATGACTCCAACCAGGAAACGCTGCACCTCAAACTAACTATCAAAGAAAGTCGTCGACTGGTTGCATGCATTGCTTTGATCACCACTGGCTCTTTCCCTACCTAATCTTATGTCTAGTGGATAATCTGAGGTGCCAAAATCAATAGTCCTGGTCTACCGCGTGAATGGGCGTTGGTTCCAATCCCACCTCTGATGCACGCTTTTGATTTTGGGCTTACCGAGGAGTCTAGATCACCAGTCCTCTTCTTCTCCGCCTTTCTCATCTCGTATGAAAATAATGACTTGTTTTTAGGAGTTGAACACAAATATATATATATATATATATATATATCAGCTAGAGAACCATTGAAATCCAGCCACAGGAAGTACTGGACAGCTGTCCAGTTCTCTAACTGATATCAATCCGTTATCAGCTCGTAAAAACAAAACTAACCCTTGCAAACCAAGCTATAGAAAATTAATCTGATACTCGTTAGTGGCTTGCTACAGGATGGAGTTTCCTGGAGTTCTAGTGAGAAGTCATGACCAGTGAGGTCCATCCAGATATTTCGTGTGAAGATGGATTTCCGATCGATGATATTGTTTGGTGCTCGCCGTAAAAATCACGCACTGGTCATTGAGGAGTTGGGTCCCAGTGGCCGAATGGTTTACGAGCTAGCTTGCCTTGTAACCGCAAGGTCCTGGGTTCGAACCCCCCTGTGGTGGGTGCGTACTGCCGATGATTCCCACACTCGGCTGATGAAACAGCTGGCTGTCCAGTATTCCCTGTGGCTGGTTTTCAATGGTTCTCCACTTGATATCAATCAATCCGTGATCAACACGTAAAAAGCAAAACTAACCCTTACAAACCAAACTATAGAAAAATAATGATTTGTTAAATTATGAGATGTTTAAATGTACTCATCCTTATTATTATTATTATTATTCTTGTCTTTTGCCTTCTTCTCAACCAATATTCACACACACACACACACACACACACACACCCAACAAACACATACATTCAGCTGTTATTGAACTGTGATCATTCTGTCAATGATAAATGCATGAAAAGATTAGCTTCGAATTTCAGCGTTCGTCTACTTCATACTGTTCAATATTGGTTGATGGATCAAAGTACAGTACAATCGACTGAAGTACCAGAATTACGTAGCTGGTTAAGCGTGACTCCTCCTCCTACTACCACAATTACCAACAATGCACTGCATCAAATTGAAAAATCAATGATTAAAATCGATAAGGCTTATGTGAATTCGTTGACATTTTTATTAGTATTAATTACTTCAGGTTTACAGACAAGTTCTAGTAAAGGCGTAAGTTTATATGTTGAACTTTATTTAGATTTTCTTTTTTTTTTTTGTGAAATCAAAACACGTAGATCAACGAAGAGTCTCTTTTTGGCGGTGAATCCATGCTCTTAGCTGTACAATCGCAAATATATACATATGTGTTATTTTGTATGTTATGTGTACATTAAGTTTGTCAAACAAAAATAGACAATTGGTTATGGTTATTTTAACTAAACAGGTGAAGAATGGTAATTGGAGTTGCCATTATTATTATTGTTCCCTTGGGTTCCCAGTGGAACATAAGGCTTCAACTGCACGTCTCCACTTGCCACTTCTGTCTTCCTTCTGCTGTACTTTTCACCTGAATCCATGTTAGTCAGTTCATTCTGTTTCAACTCCTTCCTCTTCACGCGACCTCCTCCATGTCAACCTTGCACTGACGTCCCACTCGCCGCTTCCCTTTCGGCCTGGTTCCACTCGAGCACTGGCCTTTCGCGCGCGCGATGTCACCCAGTGGCCCGGCGTCCTCAGCCACGAGTGTCCAATCCATCTCAATACACTTTCTCCTGCATATTTGTTGGTTGGCGATTGGTTCTTGCTTTATTTGTTCTCATAGTTTGGTGCCTGTTGGTGATTCTTTCCGGCCCGGCCATCTAATCTTCACTACAGATAAGGGTCTGCAACAGGCTGTTGAAAATATTCTTTGTGACCCACTCGCCAAGTTTCTGATCCGTATAGAAGAGCTGACTTACTTGACATTGTTTGTATTGAAAATCCAACTGAATTTTGTTGTTGATGCTGAGTTGAGTGACGGAGATTTCCAGATTGGTTTCAGTTGGTTGATGAATGTGTTTCTCGCTCGCCTTCCCGATTCTCGCTCTATTTGACGTCCTCGTCTGTTCCGACTTCCTGTAGTTGATACAATACTCCCTAGATGATAAGTGAATGAAGTAACCTCTTCAAAATCCCTCCCGTTGATGGTGATTGGCGCTGGATGTTGGTGCTGCTGTTGTTGGTGGTGTTGGTGGTGGTTGGTTGGTTATTTTAGTAACCTCCGTCTTGTCTATGTTCACCTGGAGTCCTGTCTTTGCTGACTGCTTCTTCGACCAGTTTGTCGGTTTTCGCTTGTAAGTCTTTGATTTTGTGTGACATCAAGCATAAATCATCCACGCGCGAAATCCAGGTCTTCTAGGTTCTTCACGTTGGTCGGTCCAGGATATTCCTGTCTTCTCGTTTCCCACTGTCTGACGCATAATCCAGTCAGTCCATCACAATTAGGAATATCATTGGTGATGATAAGCAGGCAGCTTTGTCTGACTCCTGTGTTTATTCCAAATGCCTCGCTGAGTTTTCCGTTACGTAATACAAAATCAGTCAAGAAAATTAGGTGTTAATGAAATCAGGGTAGTAACAAGGGTAGGTGATGAGTTGTCACAAACAGTTGTTAAAAAGAAGTTACGTAATCATATGAATAGTTTGATGATTGAGTTTCACTCAGGATAAACACAGGAACAAAGTAGATAATACAAAACTACGTAAGAGTTCTGAATGAATAGAAGAATTATAAGAAATAACAGAAATAGGCAAACAAACAAAATTAAGTCATCAAAACTGAGCAAAGTTGTTACCATGATAGTAGAAGTGGTTGAGTAATTCTCTTTGTATGCACAGCTCCGGTTTTTCTATGTGAATGGCCAGAGCTTCAGCGATACAAAGAAAACGAAACCGTATTGCCTTTGATAGGTTATTCTTGACTCTGTAGATTACTTCGAAGCAGGAGGCGTTTGTTTATATGGAATGATCAGTGTTAACCAGCTGTTCAATTATCGCACTCCTTATTGCCTACCACTATTGCCTTTTCGCAAGCATGCTAGCTGGATAGTGTTCTTGAATCCTCTTGGACAAGATGCGCGTCGAACGACCGATGTACTTGGTTGGCTTCACAGAAGCAGGTGAACTGATATATGCAAATAGAAGTGGTCAGATGTTGGGATCTTGTCCTTGAGGCTTCTGTAGATCAGTGGCCGACTGGAGAACATAGTGTTCTTAGCGTTGCTGCAAAGAATGTTCTTCTCAGAGATGATCTGCTCCTTCTCTTGAGAATATCGCTCGCTAAATCTCCCTTGAAATCTTTTTTTGAAATTTTGAATGGTTGTTATATACTTTGTGTTTTATTGCTTCGAATGGAACATAGGGCTTTAACAAACATCACATCAACCTTTTACTGCCTTCTCTCTATAGTCCTTTATTTTTTCAATCTTGCTCCACGATTCCCATTTCTGCGTCACACGATCTTCTCCATGTTAGCAACGGATCTCAGTCTAAATCGTTGTTTTTCATTTGAGTCCTACTCAAAGGCTTGTCCAGTGGGCGATGTCACTCAGGGTGGTGGGGTTTCCTCACTGATATGTATCCAGTCCATCTCCCAGTGGCTAAATGGTCTACGAGCTCCGCTAGCCTTGTAACCAGAAGGTCCTGACCTCGAACACCGCGATGCGGGCACTTACTGCTGAAGAGTCGCAAACTAGACTGACGAAACAGCCAGTTGTCTGGCAGTACTCCATGTCAGGTTTCCCATTGGTTCGCTAACCAATATGTCAGCTCTTGATGAAATCCTGTAACCAAATCAATCAAATCCCTGCAAACCAACAAACACTTAACCATCTCCATTTCCTTAGGCATATTTCTTCGACAATATTAGTTTCTGGGTTCGTTCATTGTACTGCTAAGTTTCTCATTGCTAATCCTTTTTAGCAGCCGCACTACCTGATCTTTTCTACGGAGTGAAGGTAGCTGTCAGTAGCAGTTTACAGTCTGCTAGAAATGCTCTTTAATGACGCGTTAAGTCTTTGAACTATGTAGAAGAAGAGATTTGACACTTGTGTTGAAAATGCAAATCTTTTTCTTTATGTTGGCTGAATAACGCAGCTCTGTCTTGTGTTTCCTATCCTATCTGACTTTGATGTCCTCATATGTGTGCCACCTGTTAAGTAAATGAAACGATGTTGCCTAGACAAGTGGCAACAGCGGCTTCCTTCAGATGTCTTTTTCTTTGATGGTGATTGCTGCTTTCTGTTGTTGGATTAGACATTTTCATCATTTTCAAGTATATTGATTTTGTAGGGATTTACTTTTGATTGGTTGGTTGGAGGATTTCATCATAAGCTGTTATGTACTGGTCGAGAATTTAATAGTCTTGACGCGAAAAAGACGGAAATCAGAAGACCACTAGGTTTGCGATGATACTTCTATTGTCCAAACACAAGGAGAATCAATATGTCACACAGGAGTGTGAGAGCAAAATATGAATGGCCGAACAAGTGTGTGAGCGATTATCCAAAATGAACAAATCAACAGACAGTCTTAACATGATTGGCTAATTATAATGGAATATCGATCCATATATACATAGCAAAATATAACAGACTGTCAACAAACACACATATAATATGGATACATATCACCAAGAACAGACTGTCAAACAACCCACATATTATATGGATACATATCATAAGCTGACACAATCAGTTAGAGAACCACTGGAAAACCTGCCAGGGAGTACTGCCATAAAGCCAGCTGTTTTGTTGGCCTAGTTTGGGACTGTCTCTTCATCAGTACGCATTAACTGATGTCAGTCAGCTCATGATGAAATCCTCCAACCAACCAATCAAACTGAAAAATCCCTACAAAAAAAACCCACCAATACTTGAAAATTAATCTGATTGATGTTCACTGGCGACTGGCTCTATTTAGGCAGTTAACCTGGGGTTCTAGTGGGAAACTGTGACCTGTAGGATACAGCAGGTTTGAAGATGAAGCATTTTATGCCTAACGTCAGTATTGCTTGCTCACCGTAATTTATCACTTAACATGTGAAATGGAACTTAGATATATGTGGTCAAAAACAGTCAATCAATTCATAGCTTCCCCTTTCAAATATCCATATTTTTTCACTGTAGTAAATGAGGACAGAGCGAACTAGTGTGTGTGGTAAGCACGTCCCTTGGTCGATAGATGAACATTATGTGTACGTACGCCAGAGATAACGTGAGTTGACAAATGTCACATCAGCCTCACCAATAATCAGTCCATTAGTGCAAATGCCAATTAGTGAAGTGGTCAACACGCTCTACCACACTTCAGTTAGGACTGGTGATACCATCCGGCTGACTATACTTCAACAGGGTATAGATGGATTTGAACCCGTAACTCAGTAGTTCGAATTTGAGTGCTCAGGTAAACTTAGCGATGCAGATCCAGTTTCCATCTGGTGCGACTTTATAAGTCGTTGTCAACTCTTCTCTTGTGTATTTTATAGGCGTATATCAGACTGAATGAAATGTGCTCTTTTAATCTTGAATATCGATGAGATGCTCACTGGTGACTGACACATATTCACACAGGTTCTAGTGAGGGGGTGGGGGGGTCCTAGTGAGAACTCGTGTCCAGTGGGTACAGCAGGTCGGGTGTGAGGACAAACACTCACCACCGATGACATTGACTAACGGTCGCGCTATCTCGTGAACTAGCAGAAGTTAGAATTCAGGGAGGCTGATCATTGGATTGGATCTCAGTCGCCTAATGGTCTACAAGCTCGCTAGCCTTGAAACCAGAAAGTTTTGCGTTCGAACCCCAGTGAGTGAGTACTGAAGATGAGTCCCAAACTAGGACGAAATAGCTGTCCAATACTCCTTGGTTTTTTCAATGACCCCGTAACTGCTATTAATTAATTCCACAGTTATACTTGAAAGAAAATTTGCTAATATTCGTGCATGGACTGAGTGGGTATGTTATTAGTCTAACATCATTGTAACGTATTTAACAGGTTAAAGGGCTTGATTTTCAGGGAATGGGTCACAAGTTCGAATCCCAGTCAACCTGAGCAACTTGCTAGCATCAACAGCCATCATCACACAGTAAATATGGCTCAAAGCCAGAAAAAAAAACTAGGTATCCAGTACTCCCTGGCAGGTTTTCCAATGGTTCTCTACTCAATGTCAGCTCATAATGGAATCCTGTAACCTTCCTCTTTTTGTTTTTTTCTTTTTTTTCTCCTATCTGCAGATAAAAGTTCAATTGAAAACTATCATGGAGAATATTCTCAGTTCATTAGATTTATCTATAGTCAGTGATACGTGTTATTTATACATTTTATCTTATCTAACTGAACAATATTTCCCTGTACATTGTGTTCTAATGCCACCAACAACTATGGAAGGACGTTTATTTGGGTAAGTTTTTACCTGGTTGCATTTGTACTCTTAAAAATCCGTATGTGATTGTATATTTTGAAGGTGCTATAGCACAGCATACGACGCTGATTAGCATAATGTTAGGCTAACGGAGAACTCAACGAGACGTTCGAAGTGAGTACAGAAGTAAGACAAGGTGTTGACTGCCTATTATCACCGATGTTGATATTCTTAATTTTAGTGGACTGGATTATTCGTCAGACGATACGTTGGGGGGGGGGGGGGCGGTGGAGTGAGGAGATAGAAATACGCTGAACCACTGATAAGAAGACTGTAGAAGATGTTTAGATTTCGCAGATGATATGTGTCTAATAATAATAATGATTTACTTCATTCCAAAAACAGTACTTGTGATACAGAATGGAATTTTCAGCATTTATCACAATATTACTGCATCTAATTTCCTCAAATTATAAATAAAATTAATCACACACACACAAAATTTTCCACATTTACAATAGAGGTAGTGTCAAAAACATGCAGCATATAAAATGGAAGTAGCAATAATAATGATAACAGCTAGGGTAATAATAATAAGAATACAAGTGAAAATTTCCGCTGGCTTGTGTCACACAGTATTGGCAATGTGGTATAGAAATCCTAACATGTTTAAAAATATTGAGTATAATGTTCTCTTTACATGATATGGTGAGGGGAAAAACAAAGATTACAGCCGTCATGGAGATAAGTTGGTGTTTGCAATTCTGAGAGTAAAAAACAGAGAAGTAACAGGACCATAAATATAATAGAAGTAATAAAAGTAAAACTTGAAGGTATGTAAGGATGGATGAAGGAAATTGTTTATTTACTAGATGAAAAAAGGTTAGTTAATTCTTGCCTGACACTATTTTCACTGTCACATAAAATACGTGACAAGTATGGTATCATAGAATTTTTATACTTAAACGTGCGAGCATACAGTTTTCTGAAGTTACTCCTTGTACTACCTGAAGAGATGCAAGGTGAAAGCTGAGGGAGGGTAAAGTGGATGCTCCAAGTCAGACAAAATCCCTTTAGCAAATTTATTGCATGAAGTCAAGTGCCTATCGACAACGACGTTAACTATGTGGTCCACTGGGACACCACTCACTCTACTGACAGTCTTCAGTATTCTACAAATTGTGACATAGTCCTTTTTAAGCAAACCAGGAAAGAATAAGCAAGGGTGAACGGTAAAGAAGAATAGGTAGGATGCAAGAGTTTATGAACTGTAAGATGAGGGGTTGGTTGAGTTATACCCGAGTGTCTTAACTTCTTAATGTAAAATGTCAGGCGGAATATTTTACTGGAGATCGCTAAGACATGGGAAGACCAGGAGAGATCAGAAGAGAGAATGAGTCCAAGATACTTAATTTCTGATTTGATTCCTATATCATTGTCGTCAATTTTACAAGTGTCATGAGAATCGATGACTTCTTTTAACTGTCGTTTACATCTTAAGCTGAAATTAACAGTTTGACACTTAGAAGGATTCAGTTGAAGACCGTTAGACTCAGACCATTTGCTGTCACTTACACAAACTCGATCGATGACTTTCAGGCGAGAAAACCAACAAACTGGCGGAATAAGCGCAGCTAGTAAAGACAGGACTCTTCAAGTGAACACAAAGAAGACGGAGGTGATGAAGATAACAAACCTACAGCAGCAGCAGCAGCAACAACAACAACAAGCACCAATCATCACCGACGGGGGAGATTTGACAGAGAGAGGTGACCTTCACTTATCTAGGAGGCATCATTTCAACCACAGGTGGATGGATGGTATGGATGAAGATGTCAAAGTCAGTCAGTCAGTCAGTCAGCATAAAGAACAAGATTCAGATTTTCGATGCAGAAGTAAAGTTGGTCCTTCTATCTGGATCAGATACTTGCACTGCGTGTGAGTCATGAAAAGGATTTCCAACAGCCATTTTCAGAATTTTATCAATAGCTGCCTGCTTTGCTGACTGGCTCCATACTGAAGATCAAATGGCTGACCAGAAAAAAATAACGACAAGAAACTCTGGCTGGGAAAAAAACCAACAGGCGAAAATGGTGATAAATTGGACATACATTGAGGACACCGTCGAATGACATCTCGCTCAGTGCTGGCCATAGCTCGACTGGAATCCAAACGGGAAACGATGCGTGGGTTGTTGGTGCGAAGGTGACATGGAGGAGATTGTTTATTGGGGGGGGGGGGGAGGAGGAGATGAGAGATTACGAACAATCGTGGAGCTAGCCACCTGAAGAGGAGAGCAGAGAGTAGAACAAATTGGAGATGTGTTTATTGAAGCCCTATGCTCCACACGAAACCCAGGGGAATAATAATAATTTTAATGCCTTGCATCGGTGGTTCAGTGTTGAGATGTTCGCCAACCCCTAGTTTGGGGGGTCCAAGCTTGACTCCCAACCGATACACTGCATACCTTGCTTAGTTCACTAACCAGGAAAAAAAAGGAATTTTAGGGGCGTGAGGTTAACTTACCCCCCCCCTTTACCCTGTTATAAAAACAGTACCACCGGAACTGGCTTGCCATGTCTCACAGTCATAAAGGAGGATGAAAAGAAACGGTAAGCAGTATATACGTTCTCTGATCGGTAATTAGCCGGCTTGTTGACCACTTCACTTATTTGGGAAGTTGTATCAACCAATGCCAGAGGGTTGATCGCTGACAAAATCTCAGCACAGATACGGAAGGCTCGTTTAGCATTGGTCAACTTACACCATCTCTGGTGTAGATGCGATATCCGATTGTCGACCAAAGGGCGTTTGTACTGCTGAGCACTTCGCTTTGTAGTTGTCGGTGAGACATGGCCACTGAAAGTGGAAGACATGAAAAGGCCAGCGTTCTAGTACCTCTCGGTCGACGTAATCGAATGCCACTTTCAGTTCAAGAATTAATGGTGATTGCTAGACACTGGTAATTATGCCTATGATCCAGAATCTGTCGAAAGATGAAGATATGATCCATACATCCTCTTCTTCTTTATCTAAAGCCTGTCTGATTTTCTCGTGTTTGTTTCTCCTGAGTACCACTTAATCAACACATGGTTATTGAGCCCAGAATTTTAGATACCATATTGGTCAAGCTATTTTCCCCCATTGATTACCACAGGGAAACTTGTCTTTCTTTTTTGTGCACTGGTTTCCCAATGATTATCACTGATGTCAACCCGTGATGAAACCTGTCATAATAATAATTATTATCTACCTGGTGGATGGTGACTAGCAGTAGAATCCAGGATAAAGCGCATTTCGTCCTATTTGGGACTCGTCAGCTAACTGGATGTACCTGCATTCCCCAGTGTGTCAGTGGTGATGTTCCCACCGAGGCTCGAACCCAGTGCCTATAGTTTCAAACGCCAAAGCCTTTTCCACTAGACCACTTGGGCCACAAAAGCCACCTCTTGTACAACGGATCATGTTAATTTAATTTAACTTGAGATTTTCCCGTTGACTGATTGGACCGAAGTGCTCGGTCTCAGGTTAACATGTCGGCTGACGAGTCTCAAATAGGACTGGATTCCACTGCTAGTCACTATCCACCAGGTAAATTCTAACTGCATGTCCAGATATAGTCGAAGCATCTGCACAAGAAGCCAACATGTCAACCCTGAGACCGAGCACTCTTCGGCTTAATCAATCGACGGGAAAATCTAAAATTCTATTAAATAATAATTATCCATTATAATAAAGGTTTCATTTTGTATTTCCCAATGAATGAAAAACAAAACGATATTCCTGTTTTTATTGATGTTTCGCTATTTAGTGCTGCTAATAGTTTTATCAAAGTATTATTAAACCAGAATTTACAAAATCCACTCAGCTTATATGTAACAAAGAGTTAGGAGGTGAGAAAATAGACTTAGGTCAAGTTAAATTAAAAGTGTGGTGAGAGCAGGCTGCTAGCCAACTGGTAGACATTAATTTACGTCAATGTCTAGGTCACTAATATTGGCCGTGAGAAAGTATGAACAAGGCTGATTCAACAACCAATCACAGCAGACTTAACGTGGGCAAATAAGATTCGCAGATACATGGCTTAACTTTCCAAGAAACCAGAAACAACCAATCAGAAGACTGTGTTGACCTGCTTAAATAAGCAGTAATAATCTACATGAAATATATATAAATACGTGCTGATTTCCGTAATAAAACAATATTTTGAAGAAAACTCGGCAAAGTTAAACTCTCGACACCACTAACAACCAATCAGCAAACGACCTTGAACGAACCAATCATTAAAAATGCATTTATGATAAATGGAAACGTATATTTATAGAAAAAAGCATAAAAAAGGATAAAACGGTTACAAGGGGTATCTTTCTTGAACATGTGAGAGAAACATCTCCGGGTTTGGCATCGGACTGTCAATGGAGAAGTCACACCACATCCTGACTATAAATGAGATCCATTTATAGCCCTTATCCTGTTTTTCAAGCGGCCCCAAAACCCTTCAATGGAATTCGTATGAGTCCTCGTAACGGGATCCACGAAATCACTTGAATGGTTCACTCTGTGATGAATATACCCCAGAGATGACAGCGAATTATAACCTTTCCACTCGTCCGTGTGTATAAATGACCCCTGTTCAACAAGTCTCGTTATAATAGGTATTAAAGTGGTTGCTTTTCTGTCAGCTATCCGTTCGACGAATCCTTTTCGGAGGGAGGTGTCGTATAAACCTAATACCCAAATGTTGTTTGCTCGCTGGCGACCACGGTTGCATTTCTTTTTCACCAGCACAGTTTCATCGACATGCACGACAATGTCTTCACCCAGCAAACAAGTGATTTTCCTTATTTTCCACGAATCAATATCTCTGCAATGGTGGTACCACTGAACTGTTGAGACGAGGCTATTCTCCGTCTCGGCAGCTGCTGCTCTCACCGGATGTTTCAACACCCAGTAGTTGCAGATATACAAAATCTGGGTTAGGGAGAGATGCGACCTAGCGAAAAAAGTTCCTACGAAATATTAAAATTATCAGCTTACCCTCTCTAATGCTGGCACTCTTCAAACATAGCACAACGATGAACAAATCCATCAGTTGATCTGCTATAGCTTTTTAAAGTCATGATACCACCACACGAACAAGTTCACTCCTTCCTGATCAAATCCTAATTGCCCTAAATCCAGGCAATACTGTCCTCCTCGAATTGTAACCGTAACCTTGTAAGGGCACTCATTAGAAATGAATCAAGCGCTATACAAAATTGAACTACGTTCGTAAATCTCATTGGATAATTCGACGTCTTTCGCTGATTGGTAGTTGGTGGTGTCGAAAGTTTAACTTGGCCGAAAACTCTAATGTCGAGTTGATTGAGTACTCTTCTGATATCGTCTGACCTCTCTGCTCTATATGGAATGATGATTGTTGAGATCCATATTTTCGGAATGCGTTTTCGACCATACTTAATCTCATTGTTGATTTTGTTGATGAAGTTCCTTGGATAGTAGATGGTCTACGGTGTTCATTTCTTCTGATTCTGATTTCTCTCTGATGAGGTTTGTCCGATGTATATTGCATCACATTCCAAAATCGTTATTTTTTTTTCATTCATTGGGAAATACAAAATAAAACCTTTATTATAATGAATATCATATATCCATACGCCCAATGCCCAAATTTTTTCAAACTGTTAAAAGTGAACACTTGGTTCGGACATATATTATTATTATTGTTCCCTTGGGTTCCTAGTGGAACATACGGCTTCAACTGCACGTCTCCACTTACCACTTCTGTCTTCCTTCTGCTGTACTTTTCACCTGAATCCATGTTAGTCAGTCCATTCTGTTTCAACTCCTTCCTCTTCACACAATCTCCTCCACGTCACTCACCCTTGCACTGACGTCCCACTCGCCTCCGCTTCCCTTTCGGCCTTGTTCCACTCTAGCAATGGCCTGACGCGCACGCGATGTCACCCAGTGGCGGCCTCCTCAGCCACGAGTGTCCAATCCATCTCAATACACTTTCTCCTGCATATTTGTTGGTTGGCGATTGGTTCTTGTTTTGTTTGTTTGTTCCATGCCATAGTTTCTCTTTTTGGTGATTCTTTCCGGCCCGGCCATCTGATCTTCAGTATAGAACCAACGAAGACCGTTGTTTGTTGATGAATGTCTGCAACAGGCTGTTGGAAATATTCTTTGTGACCTGCCCGCTGAGTTTCTGATCCGTATAGAAGAACTGACTGACTTGACGTTTGTGTTGAAGATCCGAATTTTGTCGTTGATGCTGAGTGACATATATAAAAATAATTATTATCACTATATTTTTATTGATCTTCGTTTGTTGTTTATTCTCTCCTCAATTATAGTCTATTGGCTGCTGCTGGTGGTATGATATCCAAATCATCATTATCCTCAGAATCGTCCATTTTCTCACAGAATTCGCCAATGCCAACGTCAACAACAACAACAACTGGACTTTATCCTAGTCTTTCTAGTCTACATGCAACCAGTCATCATCGGTCAACTACACCAGGGATTATAGCTCTACACTATTGTAAACGTTTAGCTTATCTACGTAAAATAACAAGCCTTCTAGGCTATGCTGTACTATGTGGTGGTGGTGAAGATGGTAACAAACAATCGTTGAATAATCGATTGGATCGATTATTTATGTCTGATGATTTTGCAAGTTTATTTATGAAAAAATATGATCGCCAGTCGTCTTCCTCCTCATCATCAGCGTCGTCATCGTCGATGAAATCAGAGTCGAACTCGTCGATGCTATCTACCCTGTGGAATAGAATGTCATCAATGCTGCCTAGTAGTAGTTTGACAAGCAATAGAAATCCTATCAGCACACTAAGAGATCGTCTGTCATTATCTACAGGCGATGATAATATGAAAATCAATGCCGATAATAAGCATAGTGTTACTTCTCAATCTGTAAAGCTTTTAACTTGGTTACGTGTATGCAATTTACTGTCTGAATTGGAAGCTGTCACAGGTCATACTGGTTGGGGTAAGAGTTGAGGTGGTGTTGTTGTTGTTGCTGTTTTATTCTCTTCTTCTTCTTCTTGTAATTGTATCTTTTGTTTTGTGTAATGCTTTATCTCACTCGCAATGCTACTACTGGTGTGGTGAGAGATGGCTGCTAGCCAAATTAGTAGACAGTAATTGACGTCAATGTTTATATCCAAAATATTAGTCTTATGAAAACTAGATCAAACAGTGACAGCAGACTTTGCGTAGGCGAATACAATTAGCAGATAGAATGATCTGACACTCAAGAGACAGCCACAAAGAGATGAAAGATTAACTTTCAGTGAGAAATAACCACCAATCAGAAGACTGTGTTGTTTGTCAGCTAACGATAATCTATAATAATGCACATGAAAATCTATAAATACGTGTTGATTTCGTAAATAAGGGATCTGTTGCCTGATCCTTGTCTTCTGTTGTTACATTTGGTGTCGCTGCCTACCGACAAATGGAAAGCCTAAGTAAGCCCTGCAGTTTTTGATGGAGACATATGGATCTTCAGTCAGGACTTCGAGACTTTTGCACAGTTGAGTGGCGTTCAAGATCCGTCAGCGATGAGACTGTTACTTGGAATACTGCTGGGAGATTGGACGATGGCAGCACATGGTAGTGTTAGGTTAGACACCGGGGAATATGAGCTAAGATCATGCAAACTGCTCCCAAAGTGGGAAGGACCATACACCGTCACCGTGACATGGGGTTGTTATTTGGTTGGTAGTAGTGCTAAGCATCACAAGTTGACAGAAGTTTAAATCCTCAGGTCATTGAATTCTCTGAATAATCAAGTGAGCGCTGGACTGAATTTACGTGGATTTGATCTCTAACAGTGGGCTCATAGTATCCAATACTCCCTGGTTTCCAATAATCCTCTAACCGACGTTGCTTCATTGACGATTATGTCATTATCGATTTTTTTTGAGGGGGGTCGGGTTTTGATTTTCTTATCTGTCTATGTGTTTTTGTGATGTGTTCTGTTTTGTCTGTCAATCATATAGAACCGTCAACTTCACAAGAATTTAAAAAGATTACTGAATTGTGTAACGAAGTGATTAGCTTAGTGAATCGGTCAAGTTCACGAGTGGAATTTCTCTCTAAGGTGTCGACAGTAGCAATCAATAAAAAGGATGTTGCCCGTACAACAACAACAACAACACCAGATCTCTTTGTCAATGCTATCATCTTCTGGTTGTTGAGTAACTTGAATGTAAACACACGGATGATGGGTGTCATTGGAAATGATTTGTCTATTTTAACGTCAACCACCCGATCAGCGGCAGCAGCAGGAGCATCACTGTGTCATCGTCGTGAGTCAGAATCACTTGATTCTAGTGTTATGCCGCATTCAATGAATGCCCGCCTGTCTAGACCCTTCATTCATTGTATATTGTCAATGAATTCACCTATAGATCAAGAGACAACAAGTCGTTTTGCACAATTGTTGAATGCTACTATTTGGTCTGTTATTGATAATGGTAAGTCACATTAATCTTTTCTTCTCTGTTATTGTTGAATGCAATTTATTATTATTATTTCCTTTAATTCCTAGAGGAACATACGGCTTCACCTGCACGTCTTTATTGCGATCGGTTCTCTGCTAAAGTTTCCACCTGGCTCCAAGTCTGCCCACATGCATTCACCTCCTCTTCACATAACCTCCTCCTCCATGTCACCCTCACACTGACGGCCAACTCGCCGCTGATCTTTTCTGACCGGTCATCTCATCTTGAGTAGTATTGAGCGAAGATAACTGTTGATGAAAGTCTGTAGTTTGTTCGAAATGCACTTTGTGACGCTGCACCAAGTCTCTGATCCGTATAAAGCAGTGAGTGGCACTGACTTCACATTGGAGTTGAAAGTCTGGATCCTATTTTTCACGCTGAGTGCTGTTGATCCCCTCCACACAGACTTGAGAGTAATGAAAGCTTGCCTTGCTCTTCCGATCTTCGCTGCTTTGATATCCTCGTCAGTTCCGCCTGTAGTTGAAACGATGTTTCTCAGGTAGGTAGGTAAAGGAGGTTGTTTCTTTCAGGTTCCTCCCATTTTATTCTGGCTGATTGTTGTCTGATGTTGTTGTTGCTGTTGTAGTTGACCAGGAATCTTCATCACCTCTATTTTCATTATCTTCACCTGATTTCCTATCTTTGATGCTTCTTCTATCGCCAACTTGTTGGTTTTCACTTGCATATCTTCCAGTTTGTGGGGAATCAGACATATATCATCGGTTTGTATCGTCTTAATTTTCTCCTGTTGACACCCAAGCAATATATTCCCCTCTCATTACCTGAAAGTCGTTAGTTTGATCCCTAGCGGTGACGTCATGTTTGCATGCGTGCTGTTGAGGAGTCTCCATTTCATGCATGAATTCAATTCCTCAGAACAGGTTTTTTGTGTGAGCTGTGTAAAGCACCATCCTTCTTGTGGTGGGGATACGGTCCGGAACGCTATTGTCGGCTCTTGAAAATCCCAGTCAGTCAGTATACTTTTTCTGGCTGGCCGTACCCACCTCCTCAGCAGATGGTCTCCAAGATGAATAACCTCTGGTTATTGAACAATGATGGGGTGAGGAAAGTCAACCTCGGTAGAAGTAATTAACTCTGGAGGCCGAGATCAGGTACGTGTCGATCCGGTTGGGGACTGATATCTTTGCTTCTTTGTATGCTTCGGTACGCGTTGTTTTGAAGTTAATGGACTCTGACAGTGATCGATCGTGAGTGGTTTCAGCTGTTAGTGTCATATAGCTCTAGCAATGCGCGTGGACTTGATTTGTGTTACTCGTGATGACTAACTCAGTCAGAACTAGCACGGATCAGGAATAAAATCTATTTTGTGATAAAGTGTTGCGTCATGATCTTTCCCCAATGCTTGAAGAAATTTTGATTAGCTTGGGTGATTACGATTGTTCTACCTTTTGCTCTCCTCGCTACTAGGGAGAGTGTATGATCAGCCTGCTCGTAGGTTGCTTTATTAAACATGCTGTAGCAGAGCTACTGGTCATGAATATGGTGTTATGCTACCCTCACCCAGTGCTTTGAATGTCGAAATGAAAGAAATATAGCATGATCCTGGGTTGTTACTGTAAGTCTACATGATTAAAAATTAAAACCATGGAGAGGTCCTATGTAGGGTCCATGGCTTTGGTGGACCTTCACCAGTAATTCTCATTTGATTGGGTCTGCGAAATTTGGGGCCTGTGAGTCACACTTATTTTGTGTTAGGAACGATGATGATGCTGCCTAGGCCGAACTAGGTGGAACAAGGATCGAACCGATGTCCGAAAGCTGACTCCTCAAGCCAATGAGCCGCATCTTTTTCACTTCTGAACCACAGAAACTATCGTCAGGCCAAAATATTGTCTAATTCAACGTTAAAACTATGCCGCACAACATTGCTCTGAACACTTCACATAGACCCACTGTGTTAATCATTCCAGCAGGAGAGGTTAAACACAGACCACCTGTGCCCAAAAACATCGCTAATTCGTTCATCTTAGGAAGAGGCAAAACACATGCAGTTGTCATGTCTCAGTCAAGTTATTATCATGTCGTTGACATGCATTTGTTTCTGCTTTCTGATTGGACGCTTGCACAATTCCAAACTCTCAACCGGATTGGTTGATTTCCAGTCTACCTTACTTTCTGTATAGTCACTTTTGTCATAATAAATGATTCTGGTTTTACCGCTGATTATCGCGTGTTCTGCTTTACCAGTTAAGTGGGCACTGGTCAGTAGTTAAGCAGTTACCTCGTGATAAACATCCAGCATCATAACAGTTCATATCTCCCACCTTCAACGATCTTGTCGTACAACCTTAAAGTAGGGCAAAGTGAACTATTGAACACTCCGCACGTCCTTTAAAAATGAACAAGCTGTACGGAGGATGACACAAATGCGCAATAGCCACACCAGGCTTCTATGTATTTTCTGAGATTTCGGCAGTCATCCATCCGTCCATTAGGACTGATGAAACTCGCAAATAAATGAAGGGGTCAAACTGCTGAACCTCTTCACTCGCTATCTTTAAAGTTAGGAGGTGGTACAGACTAGCCCTATAATAGTACCATCTTGTATTTGACAGGCATGAATTGCATGACAGAGACAAACCAAGACTTCTCCTCAAAGTGTTAAGAAGACTCTTCCCCGGTAACCGGTTCATTTCTAACTCGCTAAAGTTAGTTAGGGTCAATTTCTTCATTAGTATATCTATGATTAAATTAAACAGGAATGTGGAGAGTGAGCATCCCTGACGGACATCTCTGATTGTCATCACTTCAGAGGAAAACTCTGACCGTAATCTCTTACTATTGAGTACAAGTCGAGTGCCTTGATTAGTGTGACATACTTTTTGAGCACTCTCTTCACAGGTGTGGACATTGCTACACAACACCTCTCGATCGATGGGGTGGTCAAATACCGTCTTCACGTCAAGAACAATGACAAGTATTAGACGATAGTAAGTAAGCCTATGTTCCATAATCTCTCGAAGAGTGAGGATAGTGATAAACACATCCTCTTTCTGGGAAAGGGATTTATTTCTCCCGAATCCTTCTCATCTATCTAAGAAAGACCATATATATCATTTGCATAGACTTTAAATCAACAAGACTCTTTTCTGGTAACAGAAATCAATCTCTGAGTCGTTGAAAAACGATCAGAGTCACCTCCTAATCATTTTCACTTTTTTTGTCTCTCCAACTTTTCGTTTTTAATTTTTTTTTTGTCTTTTTTACAGCTCCAAATGAAATTTTATCCAAAGATCGATTTTGGGGTATCTATGAAATCTACTCACACAACTATTTTATCCAAAATAAATCAAGTTTAATCCATTCAGATTTATTGATTTCTATGTGTATTCAAAATAGTCTACATTTGCCGTTACTCTTTACAAGTTTAAGTCGGCTGGATTATTTCTACAGGAGGACAAGTATGATGTTGAATCGAAACAGTGATAGCGGTGATACTACTACTACTATACTACTACTACGCCTCCTCCTCCTCCTCCGATAGTTTCAGCTAATGAATACAATGTCATTATAGCCGATTGTATGCATTGGTTACATTCCCTTGGAATTGGGTAAGTTCTTTCCGCCCTCCTCTCCTCCTCATCCGCCTTTTCCCCCGCCTTTATCCTATAATTATCCTTTTTTGTCGTTGCATTGTCTGTTTGTTTTCAACATAGAACTTTCCACCGACGTGCACCAGTTCAAGTCGCCACACTCCCTCCCTCCCTCCCTCCTTGTAGCACACAAATCAAGAGAAGAAAGTAGAAGAAATGAATAATAGAGACACAGTAAACAGTAGAGGTGTGAGACAAAGGAATAGTAATAACGAAGAACAATATAGTTTCATTGGAAATCATAAGTCGCAAGGAGTGGATACATCTGTGACAGAAATTTAGAACGATCACTTTGAGTCATATCACCAATAGTTTCCAGCCGTTGGTTTTTTACCGTCCCTAGGGCCCCAACCAGGAAGTCTACATCTTCCTACGTGGCTGACTAACTTAAACTAACTGTTGTGGATTTCATTGACTGATGAAGTCATGTTTTGGTTTGGCCACCACTGGCTAACTCTTTTCCAGTCTGACTCTATGTCAGCTAATATTGCCCGTCTGTCGAGGAAGGCGATGACTACGCTGGGCATGCGTAACACATGTTCCAGCCATCTGGGTTGATCTAGCTTCACAGCCTCATCGATTGATTTCCCCTCCCTCCTTACCTAGCACTCGCCGCCTAACCTCAATATTGCTCATTGATATAAGTATAAAACTTGGGCACTGTGGTAGGAGAGTATAACTCCATTATGGATAAAACTTTATTTTGATAAATCACACAGTGTGTTTGTTATACAGTAATATTTACTGATGACCACCTTTCGAGCACAAACTATTGCTGCTCCTAATCATATCAAGTCACTCAAACATCTTTTTTCACTCATTTATATACATCCATCCACCTACCTAGATTACTTTTTAGAATTTTAACCCTATCCCACCCCATTGTGTGGTTGTTTGTGTTATTGCATGAAGTGCAATAGCTGAACTTTTTTCCTTAATTACTTAACTTTTCATTGTCAACCATTCTTACCTCAGCCAAATTCTTATGTTCCGGCAATCTGACTACCCCTGACCTACTAGTTTGACCTATGTATTTGACCTCACAATCATTGAAGGGTATTTTGTAAATTATATTATTTTGTCTAATTGAGTCAACAGGGTCCTTTAATCTACAGAGCTTGTCCCACCTCAGTGAGTAGGTTTGAATGCCACCACCCTAATTCCTGCTTTACTAAGAATCCTACGTAGGGTCTCAGATGTCCCCTCATTATATGGTATAACATTGGATGATTTGTATTCTCTTATTTATGTTACCATTACTAGTTCCAGTTAATATTACTGTACAACACTGTGTGATTTATCATAACAAAATCTTATCCATAATGGACTCAATATTGCTCACTTTACTACGCCAATTCACACGAGAGATAGAACGCAGGCACCTACGGTCGAAGATAGCTAATCTTTTCATGTCTTCGACTCTCAAAGACCAGATCTCACTCACAGTCCTAAAGGAGGATGGAGCGTACTGCTCAGCAGTATACCCACCCTTTGGTCGACAGCCAGTCGGATATCAGGTCTACGCCAGAGACGGCGTAAACTGGCATATACGAAACTAGCCCTCTGTATCAGTACTGAGATTTCGTTATCGATCAACCCGTTAGCACTGGCTGATGGTACTTCCTACATAAATGAAGTGGTCAACGTGCTCTAATACCTCATCGCCTATTTCTAAACTAGGAGTCGCTGTAGTCCAGTCCTGTAACATCATCTTGCATTTGGCGGGAGCGAATTGCATGCCAAACATTCGTAGATTGCTGCTCAAGGTGTTCAGAAGACTCTGCATTTTGCCAGCGTCTTCACCTAGAAGAACTATATCATCTGCATATTCTAAGTGAACGAGATTATTCCCTGATAGCAAGTCAATCCCTGAGTCGCTACAGTCAGCACTTAGGGTTAAGTCCATTAGTACATCTATGATGAAATTGAATAGGAATAGGGATAATAGGCATCCCTAACGTACACCACTAGTTGTCACCAGTTCAGATGACAACTGGCCGTAAGCTCTCACCTGGTTTCTTGAGTTCGAGTAGAGTGTTGCATTGTGTTCCTTGCTCTCTCTCTCTCTCCATCTATCAGCAAATTGGTTGAGGTTTGAGAGTGCATCGACCGGGATCGGACCCGATTCACTTGCGTGGCTGACGGCTGAGTGAGCCACTAACGCAACCTCCCCCCCACCAAAAAAAACGGTTTTCATCCCTTCACGTCCCTAGTGGAACATAGGGGTGGCTTCAAGCTAGAGCCAGCTTCAAGTTTCTGTAGCAGTGGTGATTATTTTTACAGGATGTGGTTACTATCCACCTCATGTCCCCCCAACCCTTCCTCTTTACCCGTTTTTTTTTATTTACTGGCTTAGCGAGGTAAAGGAGTGCATCGATGGTCGAAGATCGAACCCCGAACCACATGAGGCATGGTGGTCGGCGAGCATTCTACCGCCGTGCCACTGACGTACCCCAAAACAATATAGGATTCTAATATTCCAGTGAGAAGTCGTTGCCTATGAGATCCACCATGGTGATGATATACTACTCATGGGTAGCTGAATTCCTACCCCAGTGGACAGATTGGCGACATCTGACTGGCCTCACAAAATGAAGGTATTCAGGTTGATGGACCCCTCATGATTTCTTAGGTGTGCACTGATGTGAAGACTGACTTACTGGTTTCAACATAAAACTTTGCACAGATGTGCAGCAGTTCGAGGTGCCACTCTCTCATTGGCTGAATAAACAAACGGTGAATACGCTCACTTAGTAGCCTTGGGGTGGTCCAGAGTTCATGGGTGTATATTTATTTCAATTCAAGAAACTAAGCAACATTCACTACTCCCTGGCTTTTCAGTAATCCCCTCTCTCTCTCTTTCTCGTCATGGTATCAACTCCTTGATACACACTAACTACTACATGGGATTCAGTGTAGATCACAAACTGTCATCTGCTAGAAGACCAATGAGTACTGGGTGGCTGTTTTGTCCTCCTTTGTGAGTCTTCAGTACTACTACTCCCTTACCCCCCCTCCATGATGCCAGCATTAGGGAGATAACCTGTTATGATGTCGCCGAGTATGAATACGAATTCTAATTTACGTTAATGAACGCTGGATAATTTCCTGACCAATTTATTATTATTGTTGTTCCCTTGGGTTCCTAGTGGAACATACGGCTTCAACTGCACGTCTCCACTTGCCACTTCTGTCTGTCTTCTGCTATACATTTCACCTGAATCCATGTTAGTCAGTCCATTCTGTTTCAACTCCTTCCTCTTCACACGATCTCCTCCACGTCACTCCCCTTGCACTGACGTCCCACTCGCCTCCGCTTCCCTTTCGGCCTGGTTCCACTCGAGCGATGGCCTGACGCGCACGCGATGTCACCCATTGGCCCGGCCTCCTCAGCCACGAGTGTCCAATCCATCTCAATACACTTTCTCCTGCATATTTTTTGGTTGGGCGATTGGTTCTTGTCTTGTTTGTTCCCAGCCATAGTTTCTTGTTGGTGATTCTTTCCTGCCCGTCCATCTGATTGATCTTCAGTATAGAGCCAGCGAAGACAGTTGTTGATTGATAAAGGTCTGCAACAGGTTGTTGGAAATATTCTTTGTGACCCGCCAAGCGCCAAGTTTCTGATCCGTATAGAAGAGCTGACTGACTTGACGTTGTTTGTATTGAAAATCCGACTGAATTTTGTTGTTGATTCCGGCTGAGTGACGAAGATTTCCAGATTGGTTTCAGTTGGTTGATGAGGGAGTGTGTTTCTCGCCTTCTCGATTCTTGCTCGATTTGACATCCTCGTCCGTTCCGACTGCCTGTAGTTGATACAATACTCCCTAGATGATAAGTGAATGAAGTAACCTCTTTCAAATCCCTCCCGTTGATGGTGATTGGCGCTGGATGTTGGTGCTGCTGTTGGTGGTGGTTGGTTGGTTATTTTCATAACCTCCGTCTTGTCTATGTTCACTTGGAGTCCTGTCTTTGTTGGCTGCTTCTTCGACCAGCCGGCATGAAAGAGGACAGGTTGAATAATTTTCTTTTGTCTACAGAACTGCAGTTTCTCTACCTGAATGATTGGAGTCTCTGCAATACAGAAGAAATTAAAGCGTGTTATCTTTGACAGATTGTTCTTCACTTTGTAGGTTACCATGAAAGATGAGTTTTTCTGAGGTAGAATGACCAGTGTCGACAATATGTGTTCAGTTATCACGCTCATTATATAGAGCCACTGCTCTTTTTATTATTATTTTATTCCTTTGCGTTCCGTGTGGAACGTACAGTCTCAGGCTTGTTATTTGAAATTTTTGTTATTACGGAGTGAGATTGCCAGTCTCGCCCCCAACCTTCCTTCTTTAGCGGACTTACTACAGGCTTAGTGAGGCTGAGGGTTGCGTTGACCGGAGATCATTGAACCTTTGACCACGTGTGACGTGATTGACGAGTGTTCTACCCCTTAACTACCCGACGCATAAGTACCATTACTACCTTTCTGCAACCATGTAAGAGACGCATAGAACAACAAATATACTTTGCTCCACAGGAACAGGTGGACTTATATGTGTACACACAGAAATAGTCAGACATGAGGTCTTGTTTTGAAGGGTTATTCAGATCAGTTGAAGACTGAAGAGCACTACTCTTAGCTTGTTGCTACAAAGAATGTTCTTCTTGAAGATGATGGAATTTTTCTCTTATACATACCTCAGGTTAAATCTCCCTTGAAATCAAGGGTCTTCTTCTTTCTTTCTTTCCTTCACGTCCCCCAGTGGAACACAAGGGGACTTCAAGCTAGTGGCTTGAAGTTTCTGTAGGAGTGTTCATTTTTAATTTTACAGGATGGGGTTTCTAGCCGGCCTCATGCCCAACCTTTCCTCTTTACCAGCATTATTTCTGGCTCAGTGAGGTAAAGGAGTGTGTCCAGTGGCCGGGGATCGAACCCTGGACCATGTGCATGCTCGGCGAGCGCGTCCTAACCGCTATGCCACCGATGCACTGAAATCAAGGTTCATGTAGTTCTATTTCTGGTATAAAATGATGTTTTATCTCTTTGATCTTTTGATTTGATATTCTTGTCAATGAGAATCTTGATAGGGGGGGTATCCATTTTGGATGAAGGTCTGATTTCTTCTTCTAGAGGAGCATAAGGGCTCTACAGATGCTGAGATTTGATTATATTTCGTTTGTTTTTTTTCAATACAGGCACACAACTGTAGAAACTAGTCAGTTGACCGACTGTTCCATTAAAGAATCTTTTCGACGGATTCCCTCCCCCCTCCACTTACTCTCAGGTTCTACAGTTATCTGTTGACATTATTTGAATATTATTATTATATCCTTTAATTCCTAGAGGAACATAGGGCTTCAGCTACCCAAGTCTCCATTGCCTTCGGTTTTCTGCCAACTTTTTCACCTCGCTCCAAGTCTGACCACATGCTTTCATCTCCTCTTCACATGACCTCCTCCAAGTCACCCTTGCACTGACGACCAACTCGCTGCTTCCCCACTCGGGTTCCACTCGAGCAATGGCTTGTCTAGTGATGTCACTTGATGGTTTGCTTCCTAAGCGTATGGCCAATCCATCTCCATTTCTTCCTGCCTATTTGTTTCACAATCGGTTCCTGCTTGGTTGGTTCGCTCATTGCCAGAGATCCCTCTCTGTTTCTGATCTTTTCTGGCCGGCCATCTAATCTTGAGTATTGAGGGAAGACAACTGTTAATGAAGGTCTGTAGTTTGTTTGAGATGCTCTTTATGACGCGCTAAATCTCTGATCCGTACAGTAAGCGGCACTGATTTCACATTGGAGTTGAAAATCCCGATCTTATTTTTATGGTGAGTGCTGTTGTTAACCTCCACACAGACTTGAGAGTAATGAAAGCTTGTCTTGCTTTTCCGTTTCTGGCTTTGATATCCTCGTCAGTTACGTCCGCCTGTATTTGAAACGATGCTTCCCAGGTAGGTAAAGGAGGTTGTTTCTTTCAGGTTCCTCCCATTATTTGAATAGGGAATATATTTGTATTTGTTTGAAACGACGATATATTACATCAAGTGACAATCAAATGTTTAATTTGTGAAAGGCTTTTCAGTGATAGTATGTCGATAAAAAGTTTGGTATAAACATTAAATTCACACCTATCCAAGTCATGTCTTTTTGGTTAGTGTAGATCAGTGAACAGTAGACTCTAAAATGCATATTTCGTCGTATTTTGTCACTCTTCATGTGGATACACTTGAGCTTGGTTCTATTGTTAGCTAGCTAGCTGGCTACCTACCGTCAACTGATTAACATCACATGTCAACCATCAGTCGTCATCTAAGCGTCCTCACTAAAAGCTGATATGTTAAAATAGACTAAGTATTCTTGTCCCATATAAATCGATTAGTGTGATATGACAACTGATTCTCATTACACAAGAGGCAGCGGCTCTCGTATCCCAACTGGTCTAGTAGATAAAGTCTTGGCATTTGAAAGGATAATTATTTGGTTCGAGTGTCAATGGGAGCACTGGGGGAGACAGTACATCTTGAATTCCACTGCTAGTAGTGACTACCCGTTAAATTGCTTCTCAACTAACAAATTCAAAGCTGATAAATTCTATATAAAATCAATAAAGTAACCTGGAGTTCTAGTAAGCAGTGCAGTGCAGTGTGACACTGACTGTCAGTTGCACTGTATGTACATCGCAGAGCCAACTAACAAGACGAGAACAGGATGGAACACTGAAAAGACCTATCTACAGAAAGTCAACGTGGAACGGACAGCTTACTAACTTTCACAGTTGGGTACCCCTATACACCACCAAACGAAACCTGATCCGTTCACTCAGCTACAGAGTTCTCAGAATTTGTACCCCAGACAACGTAGAAGATGAACTAGACAATCTCAAGAGAATCCTCGTCGAGAATTGTTACCCAGAACGATTTATTGCAAAATCTATGAATCCTAGACCACAAAAGCCGCCCATGCTTAGCATCCCGAAAAAACTACTCTACATGAACCTTCAATTCAATGGAGATATATCTGCGGAAACACTAAAAAATCGACTGTCGCGCTCACTCAAGAAGACCTTCTTCATAACTGAACTACGACTAACTTTCTCCACAAAACCTATGATTCATGTGAACATGAAGGATAAGCTACCACTGCTGGCCTCATCAATGTGTATTTATCCATTCACCTGCTCGTGTGGAGCCAGGTATGTCGGCCGTACCCAGCGTTCGCTTTCCAAGTGTATCACCGAACACTTACCAACATGGTTTTTTAAAGGAGAAAAACGATGTCCCCGCAGCTCCATCTTAGAACATCTGATAGAATCTGGACACCAAGCTGCACTCCAAGCAAACTTTAAACTAGTCTACAAAGTAAGAAGTAGTCTTCCTAAAGGTGTACGAGTCAGACTTCTTCAAACTGCAGAAGCAATGGCGATTCACTTGCTGAGCCCTGAACTCTGAGTACAGAAGAAGTTCGTCCAATCACTACACTTGCAATGGACTTAATCTATCTTATTACCCGACAAGTAAATTCCCCCTAATCTTTTTTTTCTTTTCTCTTTCTTCATTAGTATTATTTTGTCTTCTCAATTGTAATATTTTGCATTTTCAACTTTCTTGTTCTCTACCCCCACCCGATTTAATTTCTACTCCTCACTACCAATGTTACTTACTGACTTGACCAACGCTCAATTTCTAGTCACTCACTTATGTATGTTACGTCATCCAACTTAATTGTTCAATTTCAATGGCATTATTATCTACTCCACTTCTACTTAGTCTCTACCTGTAATTACCTCTGTTGTTACCCTGACCTAAGTTGAAACATTTTAGTCAATTATATTACGTCATCCAACTTACTAACTCAATCTTACTTTAGTTACTGTCTGATTAACCTTGTTTCGATATTAGATCATTCTTGTATTACCTGATCAATTATCTAAACTTGACAAACCTCATGTACACACACACACACACTAATAATTATATATAAATGCGATTGTACAGCTATGTGAATGAATTCGCCGTCGAGAAGAGTCTCTTCGCTGAACGTCTTCTCTTTTTCATATCGCAGATCAGCAGAAGATAGAATTTATAAGTCATTGAACTGTCTGAGTTACCTACGAACTTGCCTTGTAACCGTGAAAGGTTGTGGATTCGAACCCCCTGACGATGAGTACGTACTACTACTGAAAACTATCCAGTGCTCCATAGTTTTCCAATGGCTCTCTAACTGAGGTGTCGCCTCGTGATTAAACATGCAGTCAATCGAATCCCTACAAAATCAACATTTAATAAACAATGAGTTGTATTCACATTTTGTCCTCATTGATTTTCGTTTGTTTTGTTTTTTTGTTTAGTTATATAAATGAAGGCATTGATGGTCAATCATTTCAACTGAATGGATGGATTCTACTGGTTAATTTCATAATTAACTTGATTACCACACGGAGAATGAATTCAAGCACTAGCAATGAACCATGCTGTTCTAAACATCCTGCATGGTCTACACAGCCCTCTAATAATAATGGCAATGATGATAAGAATAGTAGTGCCAGTAACACTGATGATGATAATAATAATAATATCTGTCCAGCTGAATTCCATTGTAAACGTCTGTCGACTATATTTAATGAATTTAAAACTACTCTTATCACACAATGGAAACGAAAACAAGCCAAGCTGTTGACAGAAGATCAAATTCAACGAATTACAAAGTAAGCTCAAAATCTACTTTTATTTATTTTCATTGTTTGTGGATTGTATTTCAAAACTAGTCCCTATAATATGCAATCGGGGTTAATATTCAAATATTTTGGGTTTCTGTAGACGAAATTTCTCTTATTGTTTTGAATGCTTACTAAGCTGGAGTGAAATGTCAGTCAGTTCAGTCTTTGGTGTCTAGTGTTCGCCTGTTTTCTCTTTGGTTTTATAGCTCCAATCCAGATAAAAATTTTCATTTTCAGCGTTAGACTACTTTATTTTTATAAAGTAGTTTGTAATGAGCGTAGAATTTTGACAATGTGGTGGAATATAGTTCCATATTTTCAATAAGTTTCTTTGATATAACACACAGTGTGGCCGTTGTATCAATAACTGAATGATGCTTCGAGAAAAATCTATTGCTGCTTATAATCATATCAATATATATTCCCCCTTGTTACTGATTGCAGTTTTCCATAGATCGCCTATTTGCATTACGTTAGGCATGAACTCATAAATAGGGCAAAACTTTCATTTGATGAGGTAATTCTACTAAGTATACAGTTATGCCTAGCCTCTGTTGTATTTGAAACTCCAACATAAAATATACAAACAAACAAATGGATGTCAATGAGATCTCCAATATCCCCAATAGTAGTGGATATGTGTGCGTCGGTGGCACAGTGGTGTCAGGACGCTCGCCGACCATGCATATTGTCCCCGGGGTTCGATCCCCTACAGACGCACACTCAATATCAATTGGTTGGCCTGCCAACTTTGGGCTACCGATATCACATGCTGAAAATTCCATACTTGTACCAAAAATACGATGTGGAATCAAGCTATAATAAAAAAAATAGAAACAGGGGAGACTAAACTCGATATAAAGCAAGTTAGCAAGTTGTGTGTGTGTGTGAATATATAGTGATATGATTATAAGCAGCAACAAATTATGTTCAAAACCTCATCACTCAGTTATCAATACTGTATCACACTGCGTGTGTCAGTTATATCAAATGAAGTATCTTCAATGAGTTCAGTTTGTAGGGATTTCAGTTGTTTGAAGATTTTGATCACAGACTGACATCAGTTAGAAAACTATTAAAAACCGCCAGTGAGTACAGCTAATTGTTTCATCATACCTAGTTTGAGACTGTTTATATTTTCAATATTTTTAATATATTTATGCTTTGAAGTTTCTGTAGCAATTTGGTTAAGTTTTCGGGGTGGAGTTGCTAGCACCACGCCCCAACCCTCCCTCTTTGTCTGGGCTTAGGACCGGCTAGAAAACTAGTGAGCTAGTAATCTAGGCGAGGTTAAAGATGAGGTGGTCTCCACGCGCAGACCGGGCTGTTACATGGCTACCACTCACAGGCGCTATCCCGCTACCACACCACGTGGGGACTTTTGCCTGCTGGGTTTCCCCTCTGGGCCGGTGCGCCCCTCCTTAGTAAACCTGGACAACCCGTTCTCCGACAGGTCATCCATATCGGCGCTGTGCTTAGCGTGGACGCCCGATCAATATGAGCACTCATGTACCAGAACTCCCGGTCCCGCGAAATTCCGCACCCTAGCCTTCAAGTAGCTAGATTACAAGCGCACGCCACCATACCCAGCCAGTTTGAGACTTACCAGCAGTACGCTTTCACTGCCAAGGTTCGCACCCAGGACCTTTTGGCTACAAGTCAGTCAAGCTCGTAGACTATTAAGCCACTGGGACCCGATCCAATGGCCCACGAATTCTAACATCTTCAAATTCACAACATAGCGCGATCCCAGCCAATGTCTTTGGCGAGTATTTGTCCTCAAACCCGACCTCCTGCACCCTACTAGTCATGACTTCTCACTAGAATCGCAGGTAACTACCTACCTGAATAGGGCAAGTCGCTAGTGAGCATCTCATTGATATTCAGTTGTTGGTTTGTAGGGATTTGATTGACTAGGGGTCGCGCTATGTCATGAATTGGAAGAAGTTCGAATTCACGCACTGGCCATTGGATTGCGCCTCAGTGGCTTAATGGTATACGAGCTAGCTCGCCTTGTAACCAGAAAGTCCTGGGTTCGAACCCCGGTGGGTTCGTACTGCTGAAGAGTCCCAAACTAGTGGGACGAAACAGCTGTCCAGTACTCCCTGGCAGGTTTTCCAATGGTTCTCTAACTAATATTAGCTTATGATGAAATCCTGTAACCAATCAACCAAATCCCTACACTTGACAATTTTCAATTTTTTTTAAATCTCTTTCAGGATGTACAATTTCTTGGATTGTCTGTGTTGTCTTATCGATGCATGGATGATAAATACTAGTTCATCACATGGTATGAAGAATTTAGAAAAACTCTGCTCACAGCCTCCTCCTCATCCTCATCCTCATCTCCCTCCTACTTCTTCATCATCATCACCATCATCATTATCGTCGTCATTATCAGCAGATCTATCGAATATAGAAGAAGGCTGTGATTCATCGTCGAAACAACCACCATCAGAAGCATCAATCATCCAAGAATCAAATCCATCTTTAACATCTTCTATCGTTTCATCTCTATTAATCCGTTTGAAATCATTCACCCTTCTTGAAGCTTATCGTTATGTATGCCTTCAATTTTGGAATGATCTTAAACCGTACGTCAAAGAAATCCTACAAATGTCTCTAACACTTTCATCACACATATAACTGCTTCCTCGTCTTCCTCTTCGTCATTACCAAGAATATCATAATCGACATGTTCTGTGTTCACTCACTCATTGTTGATCACACAGTTTGATTGCCTTTCAATTCGTTCCTCTAATGAATAAGTCACTATAACACATGACTTTTATCTCCTTTATTTGAGTCTGTATATTCACGTATGTGTATGTATGTGTGCGTGTGTGGGTGTGTGTGTGCGCATACGTTTGTACTTATTCATAAACTTTGTCAAGACAATTTATTTATTTACTTATGCAGTACCTTCTAAAAGTGTAATTTCTATGCTAACTCTGCGTTGTGCGACGTCATCCATGTTAGTTAATCATGCTTTCTCCCCCAGCGCTTCCTGCGCCCCACTCCCCGCCCTTCCTACTTCAGTAATTGTGATTATCACTCCCCACACACACACACACACCGACTCCTAAAATCTTTCTTTTTTTTGTTTATGATGTCTTTCATTGTGATAAGAGAACAGTGTTTATTACAGACGAGTTCATTCGTGGGTGGGTGTGTGTATGTGTGAGTGAGTGAGTGAGTGAGGGAGGGAGGGAGGGAACGTTTGATTTTATCACATTTCTTTTTGTAATTAATTTCAGAGAGAGTACACATTTTCAAATAAAATATTTTCATGTTTTTCTGTTTCACACTTATGATGTGTAATTCTCCAGTCTTTGATCATAGATGCCTGCGTTGTATCTTCCGTGTGTAGTTAAGTGGTGGTATGATAGGGTGAGTAATACTGAGGTTAGACCTCGGTCGAGTGCCTAGGTAAGGAGGTATGGGAAATCAATCGGTGAGGTTGTGAAGTTGCATCGATTAAGAGAGAGATGATTAGGACATGTGTTACGCATGCCTAGCTTAGCCAACCATCACCTTCCTCGACGGACAGGAAATGTTAGCCTCTGACATAGGATCGATGAGGTTGGAAAAGAGGTAGTGGGGTAGCGGTGGCCAAACCAAAACGTGGCTCCATCAGTCAATGAAATAGATCCACAACAGTTAGTTTAAGCCAGATACGCAGTGAGAGAGGTGTAGACTTCCTGACTGGTTGGTGTCGTCGGGATGGTAGGAACTAGTGACAGCTGGAGACAATTGGTAATATGGCTCAGGATCCTTATCAGTGGCGCAACTGCATTCACCCTTTGTTATTTATAATATCCAATAAAGCTCTATTGTTCTTCCATATTACTATTCTTTTCCCTCACTCATATTTCTGTTTATTTTCGCTCTCTCTCTCTCCCTTTTTTGAATCTTTCTTTACTCTCTTCTTTTCTTTTGTGTGGTACATGGAGGAAGTTTGGCAACTGTAACTGTCTATGTTGAAACCAGTCAGTCAGTTATCCTAGTTTGGCAGGCTTCACATCAGTGGTGTATTGCTCAGCAGTCCGTTCCGTCCTCCTTTATGACTGTGAGTGAGACCTGGCCATTGAGAGTGAAAGACATGAAAAGGCCAACTAGCTGTCTGCGATCATAGGTGCCTGCGCTCTATCTCCCGTGTGTCTTAAGTGGTATAATAAGCTGAACAATATTGAGGTTAGGCATCCATCGAGTGCTAGGTAAGGAGGTATGGGAAATCAATCGACGAGGCTATGAAGCTACATCGATTGAAATGGTTAGGACATGTGCTACGGATGCCTTGTCATCGCCTTCCTCGACAACGGGCAATGTTAGCTGGCATAGGGTCAGACTGGAAAAGAGCTAACCAGTGGTGGTCAAACCAAAACATGGCTTCATCAGTCAATGAAATCCACAACAGTTAGTTTAAGCCATGTAGGAAGGTGTAGACTGTCAGGCTGGTTGGGGTCCTCGGGACGATAAAAGCCATTGACGGTTGGAGACAATTGGTGATATTGCTCAAAGTGATCGTTCTAAATTTCTGTCACAGATGTATCCACTCCTTGCGACTTATGATTTCCAATGAAAGTATATTGTTCTTCGTTATTACTATTCCTTTGTCTCACACCTCTACTTTTTACTGTGTCTCTATTATTCATTTCTTCTACTTTCTTCTCTTGCTTTGTGTGCTACAAGGAGGGAGGGAGTATGGCGACTTGAACTGGTGCACATCGGTGTAAAGTTCTATGTCGAAAACAGATAGACAGACAGACTTCACATCAGTGCACACCTACGATCTTATAAAGAGCCCACTAACTCAAATACCTTCGTTTTGTGAGGCCAGTCAGATAGATGTTGACTATCTGGCTGCTGGGGTCGGAATTCAGCGACCCACGAGTAGTATATCATCATCATCATCACTAACCAAATTCCATTGATGATTAACATCCAGATCACATCCGACATGGTGGATCTCATCGGCAACGACTTCTCACTGTAATATTAGAAACCTATATTTATTGGGGGGTTTCGCATCAGTGGCTCACCCCACCATCAGCCACGCTACTGATTCGGGTCCTATCCCATGTCGATCCACTCCTAAACTTCACCTAGTTTTCCGATAGACAGTAAGCCTTGAAAAAGAGGAGAATTTGTTGGATGTAGGACTAGTAGCCCTACCGCGTTAAAAAAAAATTAATAGTAATAACACCACTGCTTCTGAAACTTAAGAAATCTTGAAGTCGTTTCCTCTACTTAAACGGGAAGAATTCGACATGTACTGAAATCATTATTGTTATTATTGCTGTTGAAAACTAAGTTGTTCCAGTCAGGTCTTGTTGTCGTCTTGTTTCAAATTCATCAGAAGTACCCATCAAGAACTTCATAAAATATCTTGGGATTTTCGAGTGGTCATGTGATTATCACCCTGACTACTAATTTGCAGATGGATCACTAAAGTTATGATGAGAAGTTGTAATCGGTAGACCTAACTGCCTTACTCATTTCTTGTTGACATTGGATTATATAATCGTATTTATAGCATAAACTTACAGAAGTTTAAAGAGACAAGCCATTTTTACTTGACTCCGATCAATTAGCCGGAAAGTAATAGGACGAGTTTATCTTTCAGGAAGCTGACAGTTCTAAAAATAAACCCAATCTTGACATATATGTGGTGAGAGCAGGCCGTGAGAAAATATGAGCAAGGCTGATTCAACAACCAATCACAGCAAAGTTAACGTGGCAAAATATGATTCCCAGATAGAGAACTCTATTTGTCGAGGAATCCCGAAACAACCAATCAGAAGCCTGCGTTTGTCTGCCTAACTTCTGATAAACAACCAATCAGATAACTGCGCTTGTCTACTTGCATAAGCAATAATAATGTATGTGAAATATGTATAAATACGTGTTGCTTGGCCCTTGTCTTCTGTTGTTACATATATACCTAATTTTCTCCATGTCCTGTTTACACGTTTGTTTGTATTACCCACATTCAACTTACTGATCTATAGACCTGGTTTCGCCTCTTCTGTGCGTATCTACCACTTTAACTGCTCCTGTGGAGTGATCCAATTACATAGGCCATACAGTTTAGGCATGTTTATCATCGGATATCCCAACATCACCCTGCATAGTGGTTGGTTAAGTAAAGGACAAACAAAATCTATTCACATAGCGCTATTCTATCTCACTCATCTTGTGGATACACAGAACACAAGATTGATGTCAACGAGGCAGCTTTCAAAGTCATTTACCTCACACCAACCAATAAATCTTAACTTCGCCTTAAGAGTTCGTTTAATAAATATTGCTGAGGCTGACTGTTGAGATCCACATTAAGAAGCCTAATTTGTGCGTCTGAAAGAAGAAGCTAGTTCAGATATTGTCCTTACCCCACTGGCCATCTAGGTTCGAATGATCCTCAATTTTCATAGAAATTTCCCTAATTTTATTTGATATTCTATTTGCTATTATATCATTATTGTTATTATTGTTATTTAAGCATCTTTAATGAACTGTGGTAATTCCATTGTCATCTTACTTTACAAATCGATATTATTTAAAAGGCACACTGATATTGTTATCGACTACTAATCTAGAATATTCTATGTATATAAACATGCATATATAATTGTAGAGCCTCCAAAGCCTCAGGATGGTCGGGGGTGGGTGCCTTGCGCTGCAGGTTGGCCACCCCTCCGTACACCTCTTGAAATGCTCCCATATTACCGGGCGTCTTACATAGCCTCTCTTGGGAAGTCCTACTCACTGCCTTCACGTGGCGGAGGTGTTTTTCACCGAAGTGAGACGGCAGAAGCGGATGCCCGGCGCTCTTCACCGGGTTGACTGCCCATTGGATGACAGTCTAGGGGAGATGGCTAAACCCTGATTCCAAACCTCCAACGACTGGCGTATGAAGCTCACCGGCAGACGTATGGACAAAGGGCTTATTGGATGCCCTGGTTGTCTGGCCCCATTCAAAAAGGCGTATGAACCGGACTCCGGTCACCGGCTGCCAATGGATAGTGGACTCCCTAATTCACTCCTACTACCTTGTAGGTCACACTTTGTTGTGTAAAGGCTAGAGCTGCACTCTCAAACAAAAGGCCGAGTGGTGCTGGGACATCACTCGTACCGAATTCCCATGAAACTTCATGAACTCTCTACGACATCAACCAAATTCCAGTACTGGTCCAACAACGTCGCCTTCGGTGGTTTGGCCATGTTCTGCGCCGACCAGATGACGATCTGGTCAAATCAGTTCTAAATCTCTCGCCATTTCCATCTTGGCGATGTCGCCGGGGTGGACAGCTGAAAACATGGCTTGGTACAGTCAAGGCTGATATGGAGTTCCTGGGGTTACAAACCGTCTACGGACTCCGTCTTGGAACAAGAATTGGATAACCTTGTCGCAAAACCTTGCATCAGATCGCCACGCCTAAGCATCGATGATTCGAGATGTTCATGAAGCCGGCTCATCCTCCCGTAGGAGATAGCCGAAGTAAAGTAAAGTAAAGTAAGTAAGAGCCAGAAGAGGAAATTATCTGTCAAAAAGGATATTCTTTGCTCAACTATTTTGTGTTTTATAGACTTGATTTTCTCTCACCCTACTTATGGCCTTTGAAATTCTATTGGTTGTCCACTTTCTTAATTTGTCATCGACATTAGTGCTTCTCAAGGTCATTTTAAATATATATATACGCAAGCAATGTCATCGTTTTCTGACTGTTGTTTGAGACAGTAGATACTCTCTTACCAACGTTCAGTCTTTTCGTCTATCTTTGCGGCTTGGTGGTGTTGTTGTTGGCTTGCGATTGGGACAGATTAGCCAGCGCATTAAGTTAGTATTCTCTCATAGTCCACCGGGTCGTATTTTCAGTCATTATACATCTGGGCCAAGTTAAATTTTAAGCATCACTAACTACCAATCTGTGAATGAACTTTAATGGCCCAATAAGTTTCATCCACTTGAGTTGAAGTTTCTATTCCGCTTGATTCCAGTTAAATGTCAGGGAAGGTGAGCTCATGATTCTGATATTTCGTAGGAACATTTTTTCCAGATCCCGTTTGTCCTTAATCCACATTGTGTATATTTGTAGTTATTGGGTTTAAAAGAGAAAATAGTCTCCTATCAACAGTTCAGTAGTACCAACACTACAGAGATATCGCGTGATGGAAAATGGAGGGAATTTCTTCGTTATTAGCAGGAGGCTAAGGTATCTTCGTACACGTGGATGAGTGGAAAGGTTATAACTACCTGTCATCCTTTGGATAGATTCATCACAGAGTGAACCATTCTAATGACT